TGCTGAAGTCTGAATACTTGGGTTGCAGCAAGTGCTTGGAGATATTGTCCTCTGACACCCAATGCCATCTGCCCTGGAGGGAAAGCTGCCCCTTTTTGCCTTCCCCTTGCTTTCAAGCAGCAGAAAAGGTAGGGATGGACAAAAGAGAACTGCTGACCCTGCAGTGCAGCAGGAGGAGAATGTTTTAAGGGCTTCCCAGTACTACTCAGGGACGGCTGCTAGAGCAGTCTCAAGGTTAGGACATCTGTATCTGGGGCATCTTTCTACCACCAGACCTGGGCTGGACTGGGCCAGTGAGTCCAGACAACTGCAGGACTTTATTCTCGTGTGCATGGGGAGGGTGGGGAATATCACTCTAGTCCATACAGCTGACCTCACTATCCTGTCCCTGGAGAATCAGCCCAGACAGGGAAGCTCTGGGCATCACCCAGAACCTACACTGCCTTTCTGGCTGATGCACAAGCTCCAGTGACCTTCCCAAATGCCAGATCTTGACCTGGACTTCCACCTGCCTTGAAAGGGCCCTTTCCACTATTCAGAGGGGCTTTGGTAGGGGCTAAGCAACAACCAGAGCAAGCAGCTTCCCAAGCCTCTTCTTCAGCAACCATATGCAGTGCCTTTCTCATTCCAGTGGTTCCTAGGCCAGTCTCACCTTTGCCACAGCCAGTGCCTCCTCTGGCTCCCAGGTGCATAGCTGTGTCAGTGCATAGGTGATGGACTTGCTGCATGAGTAAGGCTTTCTGCTGCTTTAGGATTTGAATCCTGCATCACCCCAAGCCAGACAGCTGGGAGGATGTGCCTTCATGTCTGAATGAGTAAAAACAGGGACATGGAAATGTGCAGAAAGGTTTGTGTTTTTTTATGTTGTTCTTGTTGATTTATTTTATATAATCAGAAATAAATCTTTGTAACCATTCCTATGGCTTTGTCACCATCATAGCAACAGGCTGACAAAGCCTGGCTGTCCCACAGGTGTAGTGCTGCTGGTGGGCTCTGCTTGGACACAACCACATGTAGAGCTCTGCCTGAAAGACTTGGTCTCTTGCAACCTGCCCAGTGCTCAGACACAGTCATGGTTTTATATGCTTTACCAGTCTGCAGAATTCCCCAAGACAAGACAAAGTGGGCTTGAAATCCCACTCCAGGCTTAGGCCCACCTGGAAGTGGAAGCCAACCACAGCTGAGAAGTTCAGGCCTCCTGAGCACCAAGAACTCAAGTCACCCCAAAGGTGCAAGTAGGCAGTGCTCAGCATAGCTCTGTTCCACGCAATCACTTCTGCACTCACAGGTGCACACAGGAAAGGCTTTGCTGCCCAGCCATGGCAGCAGAGCAGTCAGGAACTTGTCGATGCAGGTTGCTCTGAGCTGCCAGGCTCACAGAACCACTGCAGCATCCACCCAGCAGTAGGACAGCTGTGCAGGGCCCATCCTGACTCACAGATCCCATCTGCTAACAGCCCGCTGCTCTCAGCACTTTCCTCCATGCACCCCCAAGAGAGGAGCAGCTTCTCACTGCCCTCCTTGTGCTTGCAGACAGTACCAGCTCTCCTCCTTGGGTTTGCTCAATTACTGATGTCCTTCCCTAACGCACTGCACTGCACTTTTCTCTAAGCCTCTGACTTTAACTGTTCTGATGGTTGCTCCCCATCTTTGTGTAGGGACAAATGGAATTCTAGTTTTAGATGTTAGCCCACACACCAAGTTTCAATGCCCAGCCTGTTGTTTGTCCAGAACAGGAGCTCCCTCCGGCGGCCAGACACAGATACTCCAAGGTCTCAAACACAAGGAAGCCTTTCTGTTCTCTTTGAAGCTGAATAGCTCCTGTTCTGCTTTAAGAAATTAGCTTGATTCAAAAACCATCTAAGAAATTCAGCTGCAACTGAATCAGAGCTGGACATCCACTAAAAGCAGCCAGGTTGACCTAGTCATGACTTGGGGTTTACGGGTAGGAAAAAAATCAAAGAGATTCTTGATCTTGCCACATGCCTCCCTGGACATTTGTGATTCAAGACAGTATCCTTCCATCCCTGTGGGTAACAGGTCCGGACGCAGAGTCTGAGCTGGCCAGGTGCCATGACTTGCCAGCAAGCAAGGCAGGCGATGTACAGACTGGGCTTTGGGCATGCATGCACCCTTGCTCCCTTTGTGAGGGCAGAGATGGTGCCCAAAGAGGCTGTGCAGCTGTAGGGATTAGACCAGCCCCATCCGGGAACTCAAGAAAAGCCTTGCTGTTATGAGGGCAAAGAGACTGTGACTGACTATGCTCAAGAAACAGAATGCTTGTGGCAACAGCTCTGCTGCCTCATAGCTTAGCCTAGGTATGTCCATGTTTGCAGACATTTCACAGTCCAGTGCTTTTAGATTGTAAGTCCTGTAGTCTCCAGGAGACCAGATGTCCTGGTTTCAGTTAGGACAGAGTTAATTTTCTTCCTAGTAGCTGGTAGTGTGCTATGTTTTGGATTAGGAATAGAAGAGTGCTGATAACATGCTGATGTTTTAATTGTTGCAGAGCAGTGCTTCCACCAAGCCAAGGACTTTTCAGCTTCTTGCTCTGTCCTGCCAGCGAGCAGGCTTGGGGTGCAGTAAGAGCTGGGAGGGGACTGACCCAGGACAGCTGGCCCAAACTAGCCAAAGGGGTATTCCATCCCATCTGGGGTCATGCTGAACAACAGATAGGGGTGGCTAGCCAGGGTGTGGGGGCCAGCTGTTTGGGGATAGGCTGGGCATCAGTCAGCGGGTGGTGAGCAATTGCATTGTGCATCACTTGTTTGTACACATTATTAGTAGTAGTACTATTATCATTATTGTTATTATTATTATCCTCTCTTAATAAACTGTCTTTATCTCAACTCACAAGCTTTACTTTCCCGTTTCTCTCCCCTATCCCAGAGAGGGAAGGGGGAGGGTGAACGAATGGCTGTGTGGTGTTTAGCTGCCATCTGGGTTAAACCACAACAGCAGATTACAGAGTCACAGAATGACAGAATCATCTAGGTTGGAAGAGATCTCCAAGATCACCTAGTCCGACCTCTGTCCTAACACTAACAAGTCCTCCACTAAACCATATCACTAAGCTCTACCTCTAAATGTCTTTTAAAGACCTCCAGGAATGGCAATAAAACCACTTCCCCAGACAGCCCATTCCAATGCCTCACAACCCTCTCGGTAAAGTTTTTCCTAATATCCAACCTACCCCCCCCCCCCGGCACAACTTTAGCCCATTCCCCCCTGCCCTGTCGCCAGGCACATGGGAGAATAGACCAACCCCCACCTTGCTACAGTCTCCTTTAAGGTACTTACAAAGAGCAATAAGGTCGCCCCTGAGCCTCCTCTTCTCCAGGCTGAACAAACCCAGCTCCCTCAGACGCTCCTCGTAGGACTTGTTCTCCAGACCAGCTTCATCGCCCTTCTCTGGACTCACTCGAGCACCTCCATGTCCTTCTTGTAGCGAGGGGCCCGAAACTGAACACAATACTCAAGGTGCAGCCTTACCAGAGCCGAGTACAGGGGGACAATCACTTCCCTAGACCTGCTGGCCACACTGTTTCTTATGCAAGCCAGGATGCTGTTGGCCTTCTTGGCCACCTGAGCACACTGCTGGCTCATATTCAGCCGACTATCAACCATCACTCCCAGGTCCTTCTCTGCCTGGCAGCTCTCCAACCACTCTTCTCCCAGCCTGTAACTCTGCTTGGGATTGTTGTGCACTTGGCCTTGTTGAATTTCATACAGTTGACCTCAGCCCATCGGTGCAGCCTATCCAGATCCTCCTGCAGAGCCTTCCTACCCTCGAGCAGATCGACACACGCACCTAACTTGGTGTCATCTGCAAACTTACTGAGGGTGCACTCGATCCCCTCATCCAGATCATCGATAAAGATATTAAAGAGGACTGGCCCCAGTACTGAGTCCTGGGGTACTCCACTAGTGACTGGCCTCCAGCTGGATTTGACTCCATTCATCACAACTCTTTGGGCCTGGCTATCCAGCCACTTAATCACGCAATGAAGTGTATGCCAGTCCAACCCATGAACTGGAGAATGCTGTGGGAAATGATGTCAAAAGCCTTACTGAAGTTAAGGTAGACCACATCCACAGCCTTTCCCTCATCCACCAACCGCATCACTTTGTCATAGAAGGAGATCAGGTTTGTCAAGGAGGACCTGCCTTTCATAAACCCATGCTGACTGGGCCTGATCACCTGGTTTCCCTGCAAGTGCCGCATGATGACACTCAAGATAATCTGCTCCATGAGCTTCCCTGGCACTGAGGTCAAACTGACAGGCCTGTAGTTCCCCAGGTCTACTCTCCTGCCTTTCTTGTAGATGGGCATCACGTTTGCTAGCCACCAGTCAACTGGGACTTCCCACAATAGCCAGGACTGCTGATAAATGATGGTAAGCAGGTTGGCCAGTTCCTCTGCCAGTTCCCTCAGTATCCTCGGGTGGATCCCATCTGGACCCATCGACTTGCGTACATCTAAGTGCTGTAGCAGGTCACTTTCCTCGCAGATTATGAGGGCCACATTCTTCTCCCCATCCGCTTCCACCAGCTCAGGGTACTGGGTATCCAGAGAACAACTGCTCTTGCTGCTAAAGACTGAGGCAAAGAAGGCATTAAGCACCTCAGCCTTTTCCTCATCTCTTGTAACTAAGTTTCCCCCCGCATCCAGTAAAGGATGGAGATTCTCCTTAGTCCTCCTTTTCGTGTTGATTTATTTATAAAAACATTTTTTGTTGTCTTTAACAGCAGTACCAGATTGAGCTCCAGGTGAGCTTTGGCCTTTCTAATTTTGACCCTGCACAGCCTTACAACATCCTTATAGTCTTCCTGAGTGGCTTGCTATCTTTTTCAACAGTCATAAACCCTCTTTTTTCCTAAGCTTTTGCCACAACTCTCTGTTCAGTCTGCTTCAACATTTACCAGAGGGACTGTCTCCAGGTGACTCCTGCACGCCACCTCTTTCCATCCTATTGGCAGTCTTTACTTTAACCACAGTGTGCACTTTGAGCTCTTGACTTTTATTACATTTGCCATGTGCAATGCTCACACACAAACCACCTGAGAGTCTCAGGTCTCCAACATGCATGCACTGCACCACTGACTTATCTAAACTCCCTGGCAGTACTACAGACAACTCCCATGCAGCACAGGCACATCAGGAAAACAGGAAGGGGTGAAGACAGCAGCAGCAGGACACAGGCGTAGCACACTGTGCTGCACTGGCTACTCCACAATATCTCCGTACTTGTTCCTCCTCACAGGTGGTGCAACTCTCTCTGCATCCTCTGGGCTGAGACTTTCTGCAATAGACAAGAACAAACTCCTTGTACCCCAGATAATCCCAGCATCTTTGGCAGGTGTGAGCAGAGAACCATAAAGCTCTGTTGAAGAGTTTGATGCCTCTTCAGCTTGGCCTAGCTTCAAGAGTTCATTGATGCCAATAGCAGATAGCAGAGGCAGCCATGAAAACCACCCAGCAGAGGCTGCTCTGGTGCCCTCTGCAGCCCTACCTTTCTCATGAGCAGCCTGGCTTAAGCACAAGCGTGGAGGGGTTTGCTAGCTCACAATCTTCTGCCCTATTCTTCCTCTTCTAGCAAACAAAACCTCCTCCACAATGTCCCTCATGAATCCACAGAACAGGCAGGCCAGCAAGCAGAAGTGAGCATACACTCTCCATACCACTGGCTGCACCCAAATGATGGGCCCAGAGAAGTGAGAGCTGTGAGACTGGGGCAGGGCACTCTGGCTGTGCTAGCACTGCTGCTACCCCAGAGGGCTACTCCTGTCACATAAGAGAAAAGTCCCTTAACTGCAGGGTACCTCTGTGGGACTTTACCAGGGATTCTAAGAAAGATACAAATAGTCACCAGCTTAGAAGCAATGCAGGAACAGCAAAGAGCTGCAGCAGGCAAGACAAGCCCAGGTAAAGCAGCAAGGAGACATGAAATATACCTGTAGGTTGAGACAGCCCATCGGCCATGGTATGCTCCTGTGGGGACTTGCCCGTCTCCAGGTAAATCCAGAAGTCAGAGCATTTCTGTGTCTCTGCTTTGGTCACCATATAGCTGGCAAGGGATCCTGCAGCTGAAGAGACCAACATGCAGGCAGCTTCCAGAGAGCACTGGTAACAAGTGTGTTTGCAACTGCCTACAGGCAGTCCCTGAGCCTCCCAGGCACCCTTGGGGAGCTTGGGGAGCAGAAGGGTGGAATGAGTCAGGTCACAACGCCCCCCACATTAAGGGCAAACCGCCGTTCCACCTGCAAACACGGTCCCGGTCCCGCAAGCCGAGGCCGTGCTCCCTGCAGGGCCCAGCACTGCCAGCCTGCTCACAGCCGAGCCTGCAGCCACATCCCGGCAGCAGGCGCTAGGCAGGGCAAGGAGACTCAGGGCACTCACCCACGGACAGCAGCAGGTTGTACTGGAGGGCGTACGGCAGCTTCTTGTTCACCAGCTTCTGCACGGCGAAAGCGGCTCCGCTGCCTGCCAAAGCCCAGGGACCGCGAGCAGGATACCAGCCAAGGCCACCCGCCGCTGGGGGCCGAGTGCTGGGGCCTCCCCCGCCCGGCGGAGCCCGCCCCGGCCGTACCTGCCACGAAGGCGCCGATGCCCTTCATGAAGGCGTGGGACTGGCACGCCGCGTACTGCCGCAGCGCCTGCGGAGACACCGTCAGGGCACCGGCCCGGCCCCCCCGCCCGGGCCCCGGCTCGCGGCCCCCCAGCCCCGCCAGGGAGGGCCGGCGCCTACCGGGTGCCTGGCGGCCACGCTCTCGTCCACCCGCTGCAGCCCCAGGTTCCCCATGGCGGCGCCGCCCTCGCCGGCCGTGCGGGGCCCGGGGCCGGGCCCGCCCCTTCCGCGCCGCCGCCATGGCGGAGCCGCCGGGGCCTTTCTGCGTGCTGGGGGCCGGGCCGGGCCGGTACCTCTGCTACTGCTGCCCCGCGGCCGGCCCCGGCTCTGCCGGCACCGTCTGGTGAGCGCCGCGCCGGGCGGGGGAGCGGGCCGGGCCGGGCCGGGGCGGCTCGAGCCCCGCCTGAGCCGCTGCCCCCCGCAGTGTGACCGACGCGCTGGAGGTCTGGGCCGGGGAGCTCGGCGCCCGCCCGCCGCAGGGCCGCGTACGTAGCGGGGCTGGGGGCCGCGGGGGGGGGGCCGGGCCGGCGGGGTCCCGGGCCGCGCCGCAGGAGGTGCCCTCTCCCCGCAGGCGCCGCAGGGCGGGACGGGCCTGCCGGAGGACGGCGTCGCGAAGCTCAGGTGGGTGCTCGGCGGGACCCGGCGCCCTTTGCCGCGGGGCTCCGGGCTCCCGCCTCACCCCGGGCTCTTGCCCACGCAGGGAAGCCCTGCGGCGTGGGGCCGTTTCCCTGAGCCTGCAGGAGGGCGGGGCCACGCTGCAGCTGCAAGGGGAGGCCGGACACAGCACCCTTCATCTCTGCAAGCTGCCTGTTGCTGAGGCGAGGACCCAGCTCCAAGCGCTGATGTTTGGCTTGGCGACTTCCATCAAGAAGCTAGAAGAACGTCTCGAAGGTCCGTGTGTGGTTGTGGAACAGGGCAACGGGAGAAAGGAGATCAGCTTCCATCCACTGTCGTGGTACCATCTCTCTCCCACCTAAGGTTTCCCCCAAGTGAGCCAGTTCAGAGGACCAAGTAAGACGGCATTTAGGAGGCTGTTTTCATGGTCTCATCCCACATGACATCTCCTCATGAGCTATGGCTAAATTGGCCAGGAGAGATGAAAATGTGTGGACTGGGCAGCAGAGGTGCTACTTTCGTCTTCCTGCTTGGGCTGACCTGTTCTCAAAGCTGGCCAGGGCCTTCCCTGACCATCTTGGGCAGAAGAGATCCTGTATAGGACTGAAAGCAGCGTTGTGACAGTGTGCAGGAGCACAACCTTGCCCTAATGGCTGACAAAACACCATTGTTGCCTTACAGAGGCAAGTTTCTTTTACCGTGAGGGTGACAGAGCATTGGAACAGGCTGCTCAGAGAGCCTGTGGAGTCTCCATCTCTGGAGATATTCAAAACCCTACTGGATGTGATCCTGTGCAACATGCTGTAGGTGACCCTGCTTGTCAGGGAGGTTGGACTACATGATCTCCAGCTCTCCCTTCCAACCTCAACCATTCTGTGAAGGTCTTGGGGTAGCAGCACCCTAGATGGAAGTGGCTGGAAAGAGAATGTTGCTAGGTTTGGTTGTGGGCTGTGGAGGGGAGGGAACTTGCTGGGAAGCCCGGGATACATTGGCACATAATCTGATTCTCGTTCCTGTCTCAGCAGTGGTGGGCACACTGGGGTCTTCCTGCAGCCCTGAGAAGAATGCTTCCCAGAGCCAGCAGCTCTTCCTGCCAGGTAGGCAGTTACCATGGGTTGTGTTGCTTGTTTGCCTTCTCTTCTCCAGGAAGCTGCTGGCTCCTGTGTCTTTTTACTCTCCAGGAAACTCTGAGCCCCCTCTGCTTTGGCTGCTGTCACCCACCCTGCTCTTGGTGCCCTTCCCAGCACAGGAGGGGCCAGGGCTCAGCATGGTAGCTCTTGAGGTGCACTGTGCTCAGGTCCGATGCCTAGTATCACCAAGCAGGGTTGCTTGCTGGCCTCCAGGAGAAGGTCAGGCTTCACTGCTCTTCCATGGCAGTTCCGTGAGTCCCTGGAGCTTTCACATAGGAGACCAAGTATGGCCCCTCATCATCCATGGCTCCTGGAGGCACATCCTGGGCACAGAGGGGCTTGCAGGGCTGCCAAAGCAACCAGCTGACCTTTGCTTTCCCTATCCTTCCTGTCTCTGACTGAGGCAGACCCCAGCCCAAGGAAGAACAGGGCTGCTGGCTCAGCTTTGTCAGCTAAGCGGAAGATCCCAGGAGAGTCTCTCATTAATCCTGGTTTCAAAAGGTAAGCGCTGTTCCACAGCCCAGTGCTGGGACTTGAGGTCCAGTGGACACCAGCGAGCTCCTGGCTGGCCTGTGACTCTCCTTCCATCACCTTCTAGCAAGAAGGCACCATCTGGAGTGGACTTTGAAGACTCATGACCTGTGGTGTCCTGTCCCCCCGATGACAGCATTTTCAACCACGTGTGGCTGATAGAGGTTTTACTGCCTCCTGGCCCTGCCAGGCTCCTTGCTGCAGGTGTGGATCATGGTCAACAAGGGAGATGGATGGGGCAAGCAGGACCCAGAGACCCGGAGGCAGTGCCTGGCAGGCCTGAGGGGGCAGCAGATCTTCAGCTGGTGCTGTGGCAGGGCCGGGGAGGGGGTAGACAGGGCAGGGGTGACAAAGTGGTGGCTTTTTTTACCTGCAGCTTCTTCCTGCTGAAAGGAGCCACCCCTTTACTCCACTCGCCATTAATTGGTGTGTTGTTTTTTTTAAATATCTTTGAAAGATATTTTTTTAAAGATCACCTGTGCTTAAGTTATTGCCAATAAAGCTGTTTTTAACCAGTCTCTGGGGGCTTGTCCAGAGTGAGAGTGTGTGTGTGTCATTTCCTTTTGCCCTTCCATTGCTCTGGAGCCATGTGGCCAATTTCAACTGAATCTAAGGAGTCAAGGGGTCAGAGGAGTTCACTTTCCTGACAGTTTTGTGCCAGTGGGCTGGTGGGTGACTGGTTAGAGCTTCTCTAGCCCCCTGGAGAGCTGGAAGTGTGGGCACAACCCTTGCTAGACTTGGAGGCCTGCGCAAAGTCCTGTGTGGGAGGAGAGCTGTTGGGGTCTGTCACTCCAGACACAGTTATCTTGCTTGCAAAGCCTTTATTGATCACCAGGTGCTCTGATACATGGCTTGGACTTTTCCTACTTCATCCCCATCCCTGTCCCAAATCTTCTCAAGAGAGCTTCCTACGAATGGGTCCTGGAGGGACAGTGCCCTCTGCTCCCCTTGCACAGGGCAATGGGGACAGAGGGCGAGGTCATCAGCATCACCAACAGCATTCCCACACCTCCATTCCCAGGGCTTTGCCATGGCTGTGCCAGTTCTCCTCACCCTGTGCTGCTCTTCACAGGCATCAGGTGGTGCCAGCTGTCCTGGCACAGCCCTGTCTTGGGTCCCTCATGTGGCTGGTGGCACAATGTGCCTCTGAGGGAGGCTGCAGGGATACCCTCTCTGCTCTGGGCTCTCTGCTCTAGGCAGACTTGTTACCCTCAGCGTTGCCCAGCTCTGTTACAAGTGGTGCCCATGGCTGTACCTTTGCACCCATCTTTGTGCTTGAGGGATCACAGGGTAGGTCAAGAGTGTCCTGGCCAGGCAGGGAGGGTGACACAAGAAGCGAGAATGCATTTGCAGGTTCAGTGCAAGGCAGCTTGCTGATAGCACCTCAGGCAAGGGTGTCAGCTTGGGGAAATTTGGGTACCAGGGATGCAGCTCATGCTCTCTGCCCTCCCGAATGCAATTCAGGCAGGACAGTGGTGGTGGCAGTGGAACAGGGGCAGGCATTGGCCTGCTGCCTGACCCCATCCCTATGCCCATCTGGGTGTTTGCCCGGCTCACTACGGAGACCGGACCACAGAGCGATAGGCCTGAACTATCTCCTCACTGTTGGGGCAGGTGTATTTGAACTCCTTGGTTTCGCTGGCGTTGTTAAGGTAGCGCCACACACCGCGCAGGTCCTTGGGGATCCCGAAGTGGCGATAATGCTGGCAGACAATCTGCAGGCAGAAACAGCATGAGTTCTTGCCCAGCACTGTGTGCCTGTGATGTGCCAAGGAGGGTTTTGTGGCTGGTAGGTAGTGGCATTCACAGCCACATGGGTGACATAGCATGAGGGGACATCTGTGGCAGTGCACAGGATGGAGAGGTGGTACCTGGTGGGGGATGCAGACGGGAGTGAAGTCTGCAGGAAGGCACCAAGCTGTGCAGGGGTCATGGGGAAGGGCGTGCCAGGCAGGCAGCTGGGGGGCATGGTGAATGGGGGAGAAGAGGGAACACGGGTGGGTGTAGGGGCGGAGAGTTGTTGCAGGCAGGTGATGGGCTGGCACCCAGGAGGAGGTGAGGCCATGGGGCAGGCAGTACAGAGACGCCAGGGCAAGTGGAAGGTCACAGCATGGGGATGCCTGTGCTCACCTGCACGATGTTGAGCTTGGGCAGCAGGTTGCAGTCAGCTAACGTGAGCTGGTCCCCGTCGAGGAAGCGGCGCTGGGAGATCCGGAGGTGGGGCTCACAGGCCAGCTCATATTCAAGGGGGGCACTCAGGTACTCATCCAGCTTCAGCAGGGCCCTCAGCAGGCTTCGCTGCAGTGCTGCAGGGTGGGCAGCAGCACGCTGGGTCAGGGCAGCACCCTGCTGCAGGCATGGGACCCGCAGCTTTGCTGAGCCCTCCCTGCCACGTAGCCTCCTCTGCCAGCCTGCCCTGGTGCCCGCATTGTTCTTGCCTGGCCCAGGTTGGTCCCTCCCTGTTCTGCCAAGGGTACCCTGGCTCAGCTGTGCTGAACCACACTGGGGGTGGGGGGCTGGGGGTACCAGGACGCTGAGGGATGGGCAAGGAAGGGCTGGCCAGCCTCAGGGGTCTCAGCACCTGAGGGCCTGCCTGGGGTTCCCCAGTGTGGCACAGCACAGGTGGCCCCCCCACTTCCTCACCTTCATCCTGGGCGGGCACTGGGTTCTTAATGAAGGTGGAGAACTTGTGGAAGATGTCATTGCCAGCCAACCTTGACTCCTTGTACCGTGGGACCAGGCTGGGGAACCTGTGGGGATGTGGGCACAGCTATGGAAGGAGGCAGAGGCTGGCAGGCCCAGGTGCTGCCTGCCTGCTGCCCCTTTCTCAGCCTCCCCCACCACACTTTAACCGCTTCCCCTTTCTGGGGCAGTGCTGGACACTGACATGGGGGGGGCCAGCCTGTCCTCCAGAAAGTCCTCGATGTTGACAGTGTCGGTCTTCGGGTCTCCGTTGTAGAGCAGAACGGGCAGCTGGGCACCTGGTGCAAAGTCCTTCAGCACGTCCAGTGCCCTGCAGGAGACAGGGATGGTTGCTGATGCCTACATTGCCCAGAGCTTTGTGGGGCACTGTGTTGTGTGCGTGTCCAGGGCAAAATGGTGATGTGGTTCCCCCGAGGCTGCTCCTGCCCCACTGTGTGCCTGTGGCAGTTCTGCCCTGGAAAATGCCCACCACCCTCCCTCAGGGCAGTGGTGGGCAGCCAGGGGGATAAAACAGACTTTACCCTTCATGCCTTTTCCCAAGGTGGTGGGGTCCTGCCTATACCCCTCAGAGCAGTGTGTGGGTACCACAGGGTGCCGCTCACCTCTTCACATCCACGGTGGTGAGGGTAAAGGGTACCCCTTTGAGCAGCAGCACCATGAAGAGCCGCTGGCAGAAAGGGCAGTGGCCCACACTCTCCCCGTCCTCGCTTGCCTGTGGGCAAAGACAGAGAGCTCAGCTACCCCAGCCCCACACTCGGGCAGTGGGTGCGGGCCGGGGCCTTGGCTGGCTGCGGGCCAGCGAGCAATACAGACAGCTTCTAGGGCCTGTTATGCTGGGCACAGCGCCAGTCCCTGGCCCCTGCCTGCTCATGGGGCCTCTGTGCCCCACCCCAGAGCAGCCTGCGTGGCACAGTAGGTGGTGGCCCACAGTGCTGGGTGGCAGGGGTTTGGCACAGCCACTAGCTTGGCACCTGGCTGTGGCAGGGGACAGCCCAGCAAGACAGGGGCTGTGTGGTGGCCGTAGGAGGTTTATGGCAATGCTGTTGGCCCTGCCACCCTCCAGGTGTGCCCTCAGGCAGGCCATGTCCTGCCCTGTACAGCTGGACAAACTGCCCTAGCCAGCTGGTGGCTAGGAAGGGCTCAGGAGGTGCAGGTGCAGGCATCAAGGCACTGCAGTGGCTGGGCTGGTGTGCAGGGGTCCCCTCTTCACCCAGATGTGTACACGCACACACAAAGGGTACCTGCAGTGGATGCAGGGTGGGAGAGGGAGTGTGATACCCCAGTCCAGCAGCCCTTGCTGAGCACCTATGCCTGCGGGGCAGGCAGCAGCACAGTGTGCTGGAGAAGATGCCAAGCTGCCTGCTACCTGCCTGGGAACCTGCAGGTGGACAGGGGGGTGTGCAGGGGTAGCTGAGCCACCCCAGCCCAGGGTACTGCCAGGGGTAGTAGCCAGAAGCATCCCTGCCCAGCCCACATTATCCCCAACCTCCGAACGACCTCCACTCACCTTGACGAAGAGCTGGATTTGGGGTTTCTCAGCCATGCTGGGTGGTGGCTGCTGGTTGACTGGTGACTGTGCTGCAAGTGCCTGTGCTGGAGCTGCAGCCCCTCCCAGCCCACATTCCTCCCTGGGGTGCACCCGCTCCCACCCACGCCTGGCCCCACGGCATGGCTGGGGACGCCCTGCTGTGGGGCCCTGGCTGCCAGGGCTGCTGCCCAACAAGGGCAGCTCACAGCAGCACCCACTGCTCCTGCTCAGCACCTGGGGCGGCTGCATCCCTTGGGGCTTTGTGTCTGCCAGCACCCCCCCAGCCAGCCTCACCACCAGCCCTGGACAATGCCATGTGCTGGGTATGGCCCTGCATCCAGCTCCCTTTACCCACACCAGGCTCTTGCACCCCACCTGGGGCACTAGGAAGCCCATCTTCTGCCATTCCCCAGCCAGATCCCTCCCCAGGCACCACAGCCCTGGCAGCCCTGAGCTCCTGCCCACCTCCTTCCAGACACCACACAACCTTGCTGGCTTCAGTCATTATTTTTTATTTAAAACAATCATTATTTTCACATTTCATCTTTTTTTCTCTTGCTAGCAATGTACAGGCTCCTCCAGAGCATCTCCACCCATCGGTACACCCCACACTTGGGGCTGTGCATGGCACAGGTGCTGGCATCTGAGGATGTGTGGAGGGAGGCAAGGTGGGAAGCAGGGCCAAACTCAACAAAGCAAATAATGTTAAGGCAGCAGTCACCCCCACCTTGGGCAATGCTGCACCGCTCCAGCCCACTGCCATGGGCTGGAGCAACCACCTGTCTGTGCAACCACCCTCAGGGTGCCCAAGGGTCAAGGGCCGTCCTGCACCTGGGATGGGGAGGTCACTACGGCCACCCAGGCTGCTAAGTGTGCCCTGGACACATTGTGCTAGGGGCACAAAAGCTTCTCTGACTGTCCAAGGACAGTGGCACAGCACCAGGTGGGCACAGATCTGCTGATGGGAGCACTGGGGTTCTCCTTGTCAGAGGAGCCCCAGGAGGCACAGCAGCAGGACACGTGTGGGGTGAGGATGAAGCCCTGCCTGGCCAGAGCTGGCCACTGCAGCAGTGTCGGGCACCATGCCCCCCTTGGGTGCCCAGAGAGGGCTGAGCTGTGCCACCTCCAAGGTGACACATGAAAGCCTGCAGGTGACACTGTCTCTCCATGGTGGCAGAGAGAGCTAACCTGGACTTTGCTTGTACCCCAGCACAGTGTGGTGCACTGCCTGCACCATCTGCACCACCCAGCGACCAGACAGTTTCCTGTATGCCATAAAAAATATATGGTCTGAAAAATCTGAAAATAGAGCTTATCTCCCCCCAATTTTTCCCCTATTGAAAATACTGTATATTGTATCACAATCTATAGCAGTTGGCATACAGGAGTGCTGAGCCCTGGGACAGGCATGGGCACAGCAGAGGGCAAGGTGGCACCTGGGTCTACGGGGCCTGGGGCTTAGCCCACACCTGTGCCAGGGAGACTGGAAAGGCCAGCAAGGCCTCCAGGATGGAGGCAGCCATGGATGGTTGCACCATACAGTATGGCAGCTCTGGACACACCAGGGTGCTGCAGACATCCCAGGGGTGGGTGGTCAGGGTTAGCATCATGAGCCTGGAGGTCACCCCTGCTTTGTCACAGCTGTGCAATGCTGAAAAGCAGTGGGCTGGGGGTGTCACAGCGGCCTGGGCACTGCCCCCAGGGGTGACACGGTGGCAAGACCCTCTGCAGAAAGGAGGGGCACTGCCACCTGAGGGGGTGCCTGCTGCCTGCCCCAGGTGACACGCAGGGTCACAGATGCTGGCCTCCATCCTTCCATCCCCAACATTCCAGGCACCTCTGCCAGGCTGAACCAGTGCAGAGTCAGGCTGCCTTGTCCTCACACCTTGAGGCCACCTCCCCCCCCCAAACCCAAAAGCCATCCTGGGGTGCAGCAGTCCCCTCTCCCAGTGCCATCAGTGAACCAATAATTAGAATCCATTACAAATAGCTCCCACGCTGGGCCAGACTCTGAGCAATGAGTGCTAGGGCAAGGGAGAAAAGGATGGGTGACAGTAGAAAGATGGCACAGTTGCAGCGATGCCCTGTGCCTAATGCTCACTGAGGAAGCAGAGTGTGATGGCAGGCAGGAGGGCAGGGTGAGGGGTTCTGGGACATGGTTGGGGGCAGAGGGGAGAAACAGCTGGTGCCAGCATGTGAAATACCCTGTGAAATACCTCTCTGCCCCACCACGTGCCTCTCTGCATGGGCGCCAGTGCTGTGCCCCAGGGATAGCACTGAGTGCCCAGAGCGAGCAAGGAAAGGCTTGGCAGAGCCAGGGCAAGCACTGGTACCTGGCAGAGGCAGCCCTGGGCAAGGTAGCAAGCCCAGTGCTTGGCAGGGCCAAACCCCTCAGCTGGCAGAAGCACCAGCAGGGCTGAGTCCCTGTCTCCAGCAGGCTTGAGGTCACAAGTGATGTTCTGTCAGCAGTGCTGACAACAGAAATCAAAGAAGGGTGAAGCACTGGAGCTTCTGCCTCTGCAGTGCTGGGCCAATGAGCCCCCTGTGATGCCATGAGCAAGCGCCAAACCCGGCAGGTGATGGAAACGAGGAAAAAGCAGCAGTCCTTCCTCTGGCCATGCCAGGGCCAGGCCTGGGGTAGTGATGGGGCAGGGGTATCCCCATGGCCAGGATTCCCTTGGGGTGGATGCAAAAGTGGGTGTCCAAAGGCACCACTCTAAGAGGTCTCTTCCCTGCCAGCATGGGACACGCAGGGCTGGCAGCACTGTTGCAATGTAGTGTCCTGTTCACAGTCTCTGTCCGTGGCATGCACCAGCCTGGCAAGCTGGCAAGGACGGCAGCCCCTGCTGGTGCCATGTGGGGAGTTGCTCCAGAGCTGCAGGGGACAAAGGCCAGCTGGTGGCCATTGGTTCAGAGTCCATCCAGGCTGGTACCGTACCCACTGTGTCCTTTCCAGCAGCAGGGCTTGACCCCCTGGGGTTGTGGGGGCAGTTCCCTGCATCCCCATGCCGACTGCGTCCGCTCAACAGGGACAAAGGGAGAGGAGAGGCAAAAAGTATTTGGTGGCTTCACAGCCAGGGGATGTGGCTCCCCCCCTCAGTGTCTCAGCACAGCGTGTCCGTGTTGAATGAGAGCTGAGCCTGCGGACACAAGGACAGCAGGGCTCAGGGGCCAGGGCCAGGCAAGGGACTGCCAGCTCTGCCCAGCACGCTGAGCTCTGGGGCACTGTGGGGGCCAGGACCTGTTGTGGACATTGGGGAGCCCCCACAGCCTTCTTTCCCACACAGCACCCTCCTGCCTGGCCCCTGCCCCACAGGGTCCCGTTTCCCCAGGATGAGGCTGCAGCACCTAGTATAATGCCAGGGCTTGGCCCCAATGCTCCATGATAGAGACATAGCTGGGACCCCGGTCACTGAGATACTGGGAGCACTTCTCACCCTCTCCTCCTCGAAGCTGATGAGGCCTTCATCATCAGTTTCCAGGTCCTCCTGCTCCTCCACCACCAAGGCCTGCAGCTCCGTGGGGGTTGCCCGTGGGCGCAGAAGGCTCAGCACATGTTCCAAGGGTGACTGCATTGCACAGCTAGGGCTAGTCTCCTGCTGCTCCAGGTTGTCACTTTGCTTCTTGGCAAAATTCACAAACACCTGGCAGGAAAAGGGTGAGAGGCTGCAAGAGACATGGCACAGAACCCTGCCCCAGGATGCCCCTAGCCTGACACTTCTGCCACCAGAGATGAGCCATGAGCACATCCCCGCCTCTGCATTCCCCCATGTTCCTGGCCTAGCACTTGCTGCTCTTGTACTGAAAGAGGCTTTTGCAGGCACTTGGACATGGTCACCTCCCTGGGCACAGTCACCCTCCCTGGGCATGAGCACCCTGCTTCTCACTCCATCTCAGGCCTCACATTGTCCAGTGTGGTCTGGCTGACAGAGTAGTCTTCAATGCCCAGCACATCCACCACCTGCTCCATTTTGCTGAAGACCTGTGCCAGTGAGATCTGGTCTGACTTGAGCTGGTACTGGGCCTTAGTGTGGTGCCGCTCCTGCAAAGGACACTGAGGTCACACCCCAAACCCCATTCCATCAACCCAGAGGGGGATCCCATGGAAGGGACAGCCCCTTGGGGGACAAAGGCTGCTTTCCACCATGACACATGGGCTGGCAGGGATTGCACTGCCACCACTGGGATCTCACCTTGAGGATGGCCTCAGGAAAGTTGCGGTTGAAGAACCTCACCACCTCCTTGACGTTGAGGCTGGACTTTGTGCGCACTGTGATCATGTAGCCATCTCCAAACCTGCACAGGCATGAGGGACCCCATGAGACCCTACCTCCCCACCTGCACCTCTGTGGGGAAGGACTGATCCCATGGAAACCTGCCTGCTGGGGATGATACTCACCAGGCTGCCACTGCACCCACCAGGGCAGTTAGGTGCCAGTCCAGGCTGCCCTGATCCCCATGCCCACCCTCTAAAGCAGCAACCACACAGATGGTTGAAATCTTCATGCAGATGCCATGAAGAAACGAGCCATACACCCTGGCATTCAGGAACCAGCACCTCCTGGCATGTGGCACACACAGGATGCTGGACCCCTCACTAGGTTCTTACCTGTTTTTCAGATGCTGGATGCTGCCAAGACATTTGAGCCGCCCATTCACCATGATGGCCAGGCGGGTACAGAGCGCCTCACATTCCTCCATGCTGGGGAAACAGGACAGGTTTGAGCTGGGTGGCTAGAGGCCACACAGCATGGGCAGAGGTGCAATGTCTACCTGCAAGGGGCTGCAGGCTGGACATAAGTGGAGTCAAGTTCCTCAGGCCTTCACCCCTTGTGCCATGGCACCACCACCAGTGATGGGAGACAGCAAGAGGGTGTCCCAGGTTCCCTCCCTGTGTCCTTTGCCATACACTGTCCCCTGGAGTCCAAAGAGCCCCACTTCCACCCACCACCTGCCCACACAGCACATGAGGTGCCTGGGTGTCATGGGTGTAGCCCAAAGCCCCTCAGACCTGTGGGACGTGAGCACCACGGAGCGGCCTGTTTTGATGACATCCAGGATGAGGTTCCAGAGGAAGCGCCGTGCCTTGGGATCCATCCCCGTTGTTGGCTCATCCTATGGGACAGATGGCATGCTCAGACAAGGCAGCTCCTGGGGGAACCCCGCCACTCCCTGCCTTCCCATCGCATGGGCACAGCTCTGCTTCTCTGCCCCTTGGAACTCTTGTGGTAGAGCCAGTGGCAGACAGCTTCCACCCAGGGCCCTGTTTCACCCAGGATGGCTGCACACTAGCCTGGGTCCAGCCCCAGGGATATGGGACTGAGTGGGAGCACAGGTCAGTGATAGGGGTGGGTCAAGGACCCCACATGACAGGGTGTTGGGGTGGCCCGGGGCGCACCAGGAAGATGAAGGCTGGGTAGCCGATCAATGCGATGGCTGTGGACAGCTTCCTCTTGTTGCCTCCACTGTAGGTGCTGGCAGGCTTGTCAGCGTATTTGGTCAGCTCAAGCTTCTTCAGTGCCCACTTGACTACCTGCAAGGTGCAGAGGGCTGTGGTCCCCCTGCCAGGGCTCCAAATGCCCCTGGTCATGGGACACGCAGAGCTGGCAGCATGCAATGGGCAAGCAGCCAGGCCCCACAGCATGGACCAGCTGCCAAGCGATGTGCTGGGCAGGGGAGCCCCATGACAGCCCCTCGCACAGCCCTGTGTGTTGGTGGGGCCTGTAAGCACCTGTGCCCAACCCTGGCCCAGTGATGGGCACACTACTGGAGCAGCACTGTCCTTGGGCAGCAACCGGCAGAGTCATGAGGGCAGCAGTACCCGCTCAGGTCCCCACTGGCAGCTGGTGAAATTCTGTTCCCAGAGCAGCCCATGGCACAGCACCAGCCCTCAGACGCCCCACCAAAGCCCTACCCGCTCCTCATCTTTCCACGGGATGCCACGCAGGCGGGTGTAGAGCTCCAGGTGCTCCTGGGCTGTCAGCTCGTCGAAGAGTGCATCGAACTGTGGGCAGTAGCCCAAGCTCTGCTGCACCTGCAGGAGCTCCTTCAGGATGCTGCAGAAAGGACAGAGGGGCCACAGGGAGAAGGAATTACTGTCTGCCCACACACAATTTTTCCTTTTGAGAACACCTGTTGCTCATCCTCCTTTCACATGCCTTTATATTGCAGCATCTTATTCCAAGTAAACCGCAACTGGCAGCCCTGGCCAAGAGCCACGGTCACTTGCCACACCACAGACAAGGGTCAGCCCAGCAGGACACAGGGCTGCAGTCCCACTCAGGCTTCTTTTTCCTGGGAGACCCCAAAGCAGGCCCCATCCCATCCAGTCAGGCTGTGCCCCTGTACCTGTGCCCATTAACGAAGGCCTCTCCTCCTGTGGTGCTCTCGTCCCCCGTCAACATCTTGAAGGTGGTCGTCTTTCCCGCACCATTGACACCCAGCAGCCCGAAGCACTCCCCAGGCCGCACACCCACGCACAGCCGATCCACGGCCAGGATGCGCCCAATCTTGCGGGACTTGTATACCTGGCAGAGCAGGGCAGGGGTGCTCAGCACGCTGCCCCGGCACCCGGACCCAGCCAACATCCCTTGGATGCCCCAGAGCATCTCCCCTGCCTGCAAGTCCAGGGCAGGCTGGGGTTGCTGTACCTTGGTGAGATTTTCAATCTTCAGCATGTCATTGTCAGCATCCCCACGCAGGACACGGTGCCGCTCATTGGCTACATCAATGTCATCTTCGATGGGCTTGGTGGAGACAGGAAGCCGCCTGCAGAAGGGTGCAAAGGGCAGGGTGGAGATGGGTGTGAGCAGAGGCCAAGCAAGCTGCCATCCTGCGCCCACGCAGGAGGCAGAGGCTAGGGACGGAGGGCCTCCCCAGTTCTGTGCCTGCTGGAGAGGCAGCCCTGGGCTAAGGGGTCCCAAAGCAAAACTCTGCCCCATTTAGAAAATCTGGGAAGGCTGTGCTCTGCTAGAAATACCCAGAGGCAGCTCTCAGCTGGGCATTGCCTGCTTGGCCCCACGCTCCCAGCCACACTCACTGGGGCTTCCGGAAGAAGTTGTATTGGCACATGATGGTGATGAAGAAGCCGACGAAGCCTTCAATTGTCATGGCGACAAGTCCACGCGTCACAATGTCCCATTCAAAAGGTGATTTCATTTTATCAAACTGCCCTGAGGGGGATGAAGAGAACAGAGCATCTGTGGGGACACTGTCCCAAGAGGACATCCAGCCCATGTGGCCTCCTGCATGGCTGAACCCACAGCCCCAGTGCAACAGTGCCTCTCCAGGGCACCACAGAGGTAGCCTTGCCTCACAGGTTGTACAAAATCTAGAAATGACCTCTGGTAACAGCAGCAAATATTTTCAGTGGGAACTACTGCAGCAACCAGGTTCCCACAATTTTCCACTCTGTGGCCTTGAAATGACCTCATAGCCCCCTTGACAGCATGTGGCAGCCCTGCCCATGGAGGCCAGCCCTGGCTGCAACCACATGGCAACACTACTGGACACACAGACACTCCCACCCTGTGTGCTCCCTCCCTACCACAGCACCCTGGAGAAAACAATAATGGGTTTCCCAGTCCAGAAGGCTGATTTTAACCTGTCCCACACAAGGAAAAAAACATTCAAACTGGAGATGATGCAGGCTATGTTCCTGGTCAGAGGCTTAGCAGCAAAACAGCCAGGTAGCAGCAGCCTTTATCTCAACACCACCTTTGCTGTACAACCTAAGCTGGCCTGTTACAAGATGACACTGTCTAGCTCCAGTGTCCCCTCCCCTGCCTTCTGTGCCTGCTGCCATAGCTGCCTGGGCTGGTTGGCGTTGCAGGCAGCAGGGCTGGTTACAACAAGGCTTTCCATTCACAATGTATTTGTTGTTGAATTAATCTTGCAACTTTTCAACCTCAGTGGGTAGGATCAACCCAACTGAGAATGCATACTGGATGAATGTGTCATATTCTGCTTCTAAACACCCCCCATGATTCCAGCAGCACCCAAGTTAGATACAGAAGCTGCTGAGAAGTAGAGAGAAGCAAGAATATTTTGAGTCCAAGCTGAAGCTGCAATTGGCAAAAGGGTCATTTTGGATGGGCAATGCAGCCCTGCAAGCAAGAGACCACATCTAGAACAAAACAGCCCTTGCAGTTCCCATCCCTTGTATCACTGCACATCCACACCGTGGCCCCACCATGGGCAGTGTGTGATGGCAGCAGAAATGTACAATGCTGCCAGGGCTCACTACTTCCACTTTCTGTGCAGCTCATATTTGAGATGGCCCAAGAAACCATGCTCAGCATCACAGGTACCACAACATGCCTGACCCTCAACTGTGTCTCTTCCTGGGTCCCCTCTAATTCACATCCCCTGGATTTTTGCTCCAGGTTGATCTGGGCCCTGGTTGAGCCCCACAGGGTGGTTTTAGGGGATGTGCTGGCACAGTGGTCCACCCCTGGCCCAACCTGCCCTGGAGTAAGGGAGGGAGGGAGGAAAAGGCCATACCAATCTTGGCGTAGTACTCATTGATGTACTCATTGTAAGCCATCTCCATCAAGCCATGGCCCAGGTTGTAGTTAGGGAATACAAGGAAGCAGCTCTTCAGGTAGCTGTTCACCACCTTCAAATCCTGTGGAGATGGACAGACAGAACATGACTATCAGAAACACCTGTGAGGACTCTGAGCACACAGTACTGTGAGCCCGAGCAGACCTCATAGCTGACCCTGCTGTGAGCAGTAGCTTGGAGAAGAGACCTCTTGAGGTCTCGCTCAGCCTGAGCTGTCTCATGACCCAATTGCTGTCACCACCCTGGCAGCAAGCAGGCACCACCACCTGCCACATGGAGCCACAGGCTTTGTCACAGTGTGATGGCTCCTTGCACTGTGCCAGAGGCATCTCCCCTCTTATCAAGCTGAGGGAGGCATCTTCTCCCTTCCTGGTGGCCGCAGCCAGAGATGTGAACCCTGTACCTTGTCATGCTCAAAGAGCTGCAGCAGGAACGTGGCGACAGTGGCAGTGATGCCAATGAAGAGGTTGATGACGATGAGGAAGACGTAGGCAGAGCTGGGCACCTCAAACCAGAAGGAGGCAGGGTACATGATGGGGGTGATGGACCAGCTGGGGAGGCAAGCAACAGGAGTGCACATGAGCATGGTAGGACTGTAGAACCCACTGGAGAGCTCTGGGATTGCTCATCTCCCAGCCCCATCCTTCCTGGGGTCTCCCACCCCAGGGTTCACAGCCCACTAGCAACAGGAGCCACAGAACTGAAAGACAGGGGGACAGAAAGATCTGGGCTAGATCCTGCCTGCTTAGCCACAGTGCAAATGGGGCACCAGAAGGACCCACTGGTGCATCCTGACTTCACCCCTCCCTTGCTCACCCCATCTGACCAACATACCCATACAGCAGAAAGAGTGAGAGGACGGCTGGGAAGTTGGTGGGAGAGGTGTATGCCGGGAGGTCAAACACGAAAAGGATAATGATACAGCACGTGGCTGGTACCAGGTAGTTCAACTGCAGAAGACAGAAACTTCTTTAACTGCCTGTCCACTCAGCCCTGGGGGCTCAGCTGGTAAGGCCACATGCCCTGCTCACCATATCCCACACGTAGTTGGCCAACCAGTAGATGACAGGGTCGCAGCCGCTCACAAACTGCAGGTGTTTGGCCTTGGTGGCCTTTTCAGCCACCAAGAACACCACAAAGCTGGCAGGCACAAAGGACATGGCCACAATGATGAAGATGGCAATCACCACGTCTGTGCCTTGCAAACTGCAAGGAAGAGGAGAGCAGAGACATCATCACCCTCAGCTCCCCAACCTTGTGTGGGACAATCACTGTAGAGAGGACAGGGCATGGCACAAGGACCCCCCATGTCACAGCCTCCCAGTCAAACCCATGCAAACCACAGTGGGAAGCTCCCTCCCCTGCTACATGATGGCCACCCTCCCTCAAACCAGCTCCCTGGACATACAGGTAATCCAAGGACAGGCTGGCGCTCGTCTTGTTCATGGGATGGTTTGTGACCGTGATGCCTGCAGCAAAAAGAAACATAGGATTGTTTCTATCCTGGCTCAGGATGGAAAATGTTACCCCAGCCCCAGCCTGCCTGGTCCTAGTTCTCAGTGGGAGGAGTTTCCTTCCCTGTAGCCCAGAAGCAACACTGCTTTGGGGCCAAGACCTCCCTCTCATCAACTGGCAGACAGATAAGCCTGCAAGCCCAGGTGTCAGCAGCAGCACCTCAAGAGGTGCTGCCCCAGCCATACGCTGTCTAGCTTAGATCTCAAGCCACACATAAAGGTGTATGAACCCCCTGCCCCAACTGTGCACTAGCCTGCTTTGTCCAAGAGAGTACATGGCATTTTAGAACCTTGTTGGTCCAAGAGAGAATACGCACTTTAGAACCTTGTTGGACCATGCCCTAAAGCTGTTCCTGATATGCTTTTGTCCTTAAAACTCCTCCAGGCCCTCACCGTAGGCAGCAGGGTTGCCTTTGCTCTTGGGCAGGTTCGCTCGTAGGATGGCATTGTTGAGAGCATTGAGGTAGGTGGGCATGCTGTGGTAGCCCTTGTTGTTGTAGAAGACCTGGAGGAGCAGAAGAGTGGTGGGAAGTAGTAGGAGAGCTGGGCTCACACCAGATGTGTGGGGTGGGGTGGGGTGGGGTGGCAACAGGGTGCCCCCCTGCTCATGGCTGTAAGAAGAGCAGGCCAATGCTGACTACAATGGGTCTGACCCATTGTGGTGGGAGCTCTGCAAAGTGCTCCATGTGGTTAAGAGCCCCACCAGATCTCTTGCCAGAGAGCACTACTGTAGAGAAGTGGATAAGGGGCCTGGCTGTGCAGGCAGCACTGCCTTCCCCCTTCTCTACCTTGCCTGTGCCAGTGCTGCTGCTGCCCACCCATCTCCTGGCTACCTCAGGGCTCAGCTTGATCCTACCTGGGCTGTTCTCCGGACGGCAATCTTGCGCACCATGGCAGGAGCCCTGGCCCCAAAGGAGGCTGGGATGGATTTCTGGACATTGCCAAAGGTGAGTGCCCCGTACCTGTGGGACAAAGCACCCCCAAGAAGCTGTGACTGCTGTCCCCTGTGTCCAGGAGCAGGGCCATACTCCTGGCTCCCATCAGCACCCCTGGGGTCTCCCAGAGGCCCCAGCCCCACATCCTGCACTATGGCAGAGGGCAGAGCCCTCCCAGCCTCCCTCTTGCCTGTGCAGACGGAAGCGGTCTGAGGTGTAGAGCAGGTACTCGGAGACGTTGCGCCCCGTGATGTCTGCCAGGATGTCCCCCGTCACCACCTTCATCTGTGGCGGATGGCCTCCCACACCACTGGGGCATGAGAAACCAGTCCCCTGCATGGAGCATGTGCACTTGATAGGCTCATGGATGATCCGGGGCAGGGCAGGGGCCGAGGTGACGGTCTCTGTGGGGTAGAGGAGGCAGAGTCAAGCCCCAGCCAGCCCTGGCTGTGATGGCTGTGTGGGGCAACATGGGGACAGAGGGGGATGAGAGGAGCACATGGAGCAACCTCCCTCACCCTCAGCCAAGAGGTTCTGGCCAGGCAAGGAGGAGCCTCCATGCTGCCCTTGTGTTAGCTCCTGCTGACCTCAGCCCAGACTTTAAATGGCCCTTTGTGTCCCAGTGATATAAAGGGGCCAAGAGATGGACCCAGGAAAAACGTGGGAACACACAGGGAACAGAAATGGTTCAGAGACAGGGCATGAAGTGTGTCTGGAGAAAGCAATGCAATCATTCCACTGGCTGGGGACCAAGTACCCAACCCAAGTACCAAGATTCCCAATGGCATCATCAGCCCAGTAAGCTCCGCAAGGACTGCTGAGGCTGAATGGGAGCACTGCTGCAAGGCTAGCATCAACCCTGATTCAGAAGTGCAGCCAAGCAATGCTCTGCTATCACCGAGCCAAACAGCACCCGATGGGCACTTTGAGGTGCCACTATAGCTGCTCTTGCAAGGAAGACACATTGCCCTGCCTGGAGTTGAAACCCCAGCCCAAACAGACTGATGCACTAAGTGCAGATGACACCTTTGATAGCAGAAGAGAAGATTGTGGAGTTCCAAGCATGCAGCAAGTCCTCATCCACTGAGATGGGGTAGTCGGAAGGAGCTGGGGATGGAGGCGGTGGCACGAAGTTGGAGAGTGGCAGGCCCTGAGTGAAGGAGTCGATGCACATAGCATCAAAGTACTTGGCTGCCAGCATCTTGGACTCATTGCTATTGAGGTTCAGGGTCTGCATGGGTTGGTCCAGTGTGTTGTTGAAGGCTGTCTTGAGCACACAGGTGGCCCCGATGCCAGAGGGCAGGTGGAAGGTGTTCACTAGCTGCTGGGGGCTGGCATCTGGAGACAGCCTGATGCTGCAGGGAGAGCAGCAGGTAAAAGGTACAAGAGGCATGAGACATGGAACATCCCACCTTGGCCTTCTTCTGGGCAAGTCCATGCAGCCTCAGTATGTGTAGTGGCTGAATGGGCACAGGCACCACAGCTGTACAGCCTTGGGTACCCACCCAGCCCAAGCCTGGCATGAGCCAAGCTGATGATCACAGCCAGCGTCAGGACTGGCACCTCTCCCAGAGAGGCCCCAGGGGAAAACGGAGGGTACTTTCTGCATGGGGCATTACACTGGCCAGGCTCTACTCCAAGCCCAAGCCAGCCCCAGTGCCAGACCAACTGTAAATTGCCCTCCCCAGTCCCATCACCCCATTGTGGTTCTGGGTACGGGAGTGAGATTGGGGTGCAGGATGGTGCTCTTGAGCAAGCGGCAGCTCTCACCGGTACTCACGCCGCTCCTCGTTGGCATAAGGAATGAAATTGCCCTTGGGCTGGGTGTAATTGTGGTACTGTGATGGCGAGAGGATGAGGGGTGGCAGGTCACCTGTGGAAACAAGGACAGGAACCTGTTTGTGGCCTCAGCACCCCTGCCCATGCGGCCCCATGCTCACAGGCAGGCTGAGCACCCAGAAGCCTTGTCCTTATCTCACGAGTCCCACCCCCAGCATCACCACCAGCCCAATAGGGGTAGGCAGAAAGGGCTAAGATGAGTCCCCAGCATCTGGGTCAGCAAGACCTGGCTGGTGTGAGGGCATCAGGGTGGGAAATGTGCCCTCACTCCAAGCTGCTGCCAATGCAGAGAGAGGATACCTGACCTGGTGCAGGGGCATGAGTCTGGGCCCTGGAGAGGGGACAGGGCAAGACCCCCTTGTCCTCCTCACCCCAATGGGACAAGGGCTTGCAGGTACCTATTTCAGGCACGGAGAGTGCCACAGTCATGGCCACGCAGACAAAGAAGGCAGGCAGAAGGATCTGAGAGAAGAGGGCCTTGGTGTTGCGCTTGGCACAGTGGAAGCGTTTTACAATCAGCCCGTGGAACTGGCGCAGCTTCAGCCATGAGCCCTCCAGCTTGAAGGTCCCCTGCCCGGCCAAGTCATGGTCCTCTGCCTCCACATCGGCCTCTTGGTCTGCAAGGAGGAGGTGGCAGGTAGGAGGATGTGAGCCACCTGCACAACTGCTCCTGCAGGGTCCCAGTGACCCCACACCTGCCTTAGCCTGTGGCCACACAGATGCTGAGCTATGCACAGCCACTCTGAGGGGCCACTGAGCTTTGGTGTTACCATGGCACGAAGCAAGGCAGCTGGCTGGCAGGTTTCTCTTGGCCCAAAATGGGAAATTGTTACAATGGTTTAAAAAACAAACAAACAAACAAACAAATGTGGTGCTTTTTTGCAGACCCCCCCATCTTCCCATCAGTTCTAGCCAGCCCAGATGCTCCTGGATGGCAAGGGCCTAGTGCAGACAGGAAGAGGGGGGACAGGTTGTGGGTGTGGGGACCCAGCAAGGCAGTGAGTTTGGGGCTAGGACTTGGAAAGTCTGATTGCAGTGCAACACTGCTGCTGCTCTGCCTCCCACTGACCCAAATTCAGCAATACTCAGAGCAATACACAGACCTGGCAGGGGAAGAAGAGTGTCACAGCAATAAATTAATCATGACAAGAACTGGTGGGATAAACCAGAAAATGATTTGTGAAATAAACAGTAGCCTTTGGGCTCCTGCCTGCATGCTCTGTGCTTGTGCAGTTTGAGCATCCAGGCAGGGACAGTCCTGAAACCATGTCAGCATCTGGAGAGTGAGCCGCTCTCTAGAAGATGACTCCATGCTGGAGGGATGGGCTGGCCAGCCAAGAGGAGAAAACCCAGCAGCTCAGCCACCATATCAGCGCACCCCATGCCACATTGTGCTGCCAGTCAACACAGTTGCTAGTGTGAGGAGTGTGTTAGTGGGAGTGAGTCTGCAGGTCAGCGCTTGCAGGATTCAAGAGAGACAAAGGGAAGGGCTAGCACTGGCTGTGCCTCCACCTGTCGGTGAGCACAACAGTTCTGTGCCTCAGCACAGAATCCCTCATGCACATGACACCAGTTCAGGGGGTGCCAACCTTGGCTAGAAGCACCAGTTTCCAGCCATCCCACCCCAATCCTCTTCCCAGGCTGCAGGGCCTGTGCCTCCCTTTCTCTCTCTTTTACAGGCTCCCTGGACACATCATCTGTTGGAACACAGGCTCACTGTCACTGGGGGCTCAGCTGAGCCAGCATGATCCCCAGTACACCAGGGCATGGCCCCCTGGTGAGGGCCAGCTCTGCCTTGGAGCAGCCATCCTCCCCATCCCAGGGCACCTCTATCATGGTGCACAAGCAGCACACCGCCACACGGCATTACAAACCTTGCAGACTGATGTTGTCAGGGTCCTGATGATTGTCAAACAATGGAGAGTAATCCCCAAAGAACTCAGAATAAGCCCCACCTTCGTCGCCCCGCACGGAGCCCACCGAGGAGGCCGAGCGCAAGGACGCCTGCGACTGCGCCAGCTTGGAGCATGTCACCAGGTTGCTGAGCTCTACCTCGGGCTTCTCAGGCACGTCCACCTCAGCCAGGGGCTCCCCATTGGCCTCTGGCTTTGGGCCCAGCTCAGGGACAGGTGGCTGGAGGGCATCCTTCTTGGACTCCTTCATGTCTGGAAGGAGAAGGGGCACTGCTGCTGTCTGTGCCAGCCTTTGCTGTGCCTTGCACAGCAGAGCACAGATGTACTTTGCAAACCCAGATCAAAGCAGCTGATGGTTGCCCTTAAGCTGGGGCAGGCTCTGACAGAGGCCCCCCCTCCTCTTTGCAGAGGAGACTCCTGCTCCCATGCAAAAACCGAGGAGACACAAAGCCCACGTAAAGGCACACGGTGCCTTCACCTCACTCCCTGTGCCCCAGTGCCAACAGCACTGCCATGTGCCTCCTGCAGTCCATACCCACATCACTGTTCTCCAGGGACTGGTCCTCCTCAGACACCTTCAGGAAGACCTCCTCAAGTGTGGTGTCCATCAGCCCAAAACTGGTGAGGTCAAGTTCCTCCAGACTTTGCTCCAAGTGCTGTGGAAGGGAAACCATTGAATGAGAAGGGCAGGCGGCTCCAGCACTGCCACAGCACAGGGAAAACCCTCAGACACTCATCCAGTGAGTGCTGGTGCCAGGCAGGACAACAGCCCCATACCATTTGCTGTTGGCAGCTCTTTGGCAGGGCTGGAACAGGCCCAGTGCTGTGTCTTGCCCTTCTGGGACCAACTCCACATGGGCCCACATGCACATTTGTCCCCCCTTAAGCCTCATGAGATGCCATGCCCATCTGAGCTTGTCCTGCCCCTTCATGGTGATCCCCCATCCTTGCACTGTCAGCAAGGCAGGCAGCAGGGTTGTGGGTGGCTCAGGTACCTGGAAGAGCCTCTCAAAGCAGCCCTTCTTGACAGCCTCGCTTGGCAGGATGTAGGAGAGCTCAGTGTTGGTGTCCGAGATGAGGAGGCAGGAGGCCACGTATTTCTTGATAAACTGGGAGACGCGGGGCTCAGAGCAGGGGCTGACAGAAGAGTGGCCTAGAGGACTGTGGGGCTGGCCTGGCTCTGCAGCAGAGGGGCAGCACTGATCATCTCTTCTGGCCTTCTACCAGCAACCCCTGCCATCCACAGTACTCCCAGCACCTCAGGGGTTCCTTCTGCATCTATCACAGGGTGCTAGCAGCTTCTGGCTGCTCTGGCCATGCTTCCTGGCCTGGGTAGGTGCTCTGCCCTCAGCCCCACAGAGCACCACTGCCCACGCCAGACATCAGCAAGCAGCCCCTGGGCTGGACACCAGAATCAGCACCTGGAGGCAACACCTCCACGCAGGATCTAACTGGGGACCCAGAGAACCGAACAATGACACCTCTTGCATCACTACCCTGTCCCCCTGTCCCCTATGTGTGGCCTATGGGGACTTGAGGCAGGAGCATTTGGGCTTTGACCTCTTGCTCCTTTCCTGTGCACAAAAAGGGCTGGTCCCATCTACTCATCCTCTAAACCCAGGGTCCTTCTGGGCACACAGACCTGTGCTGTTTCTGGTGTCTGACTGCCTCTTCACCACCGTCAGCTTGTAGCCATCGCCATAGGTGCTCTTGAGGAAGAGTGGGGAACCACAGCACTTGAGTTTGCCATGGGAGATGATGGCAATGCGGTCGCCCAGCAGGTCAGCCTCATCCATGTGATGAGTGGACAGCAGGATGGTCCTCCCTGCCCGGTGGCACAGAGCATAAGGAGAGGGTCTGGGGCTACACCAAGGCTGCTGCAGCCCATGCTTGCCCTGCTTAGGTAAGGCACACTGCCTGGGGACATGGGGAAGGAGAGCACAGAGCTGGCCATGCCCCCGAGGGTCTCACAGGGACCCCTGGGTCACATGCAGAGGGGTCCAACTGCCACAGTGAGGGGTTTTCTCTGTGCTCCTAAGCCCAGGCTCTATTTTCTGCCCCACAGCAAGCTGTTCTCTCACTCTGGCAACCCAGGTGAATGCTGTCCTGGCTCACCTGGCTTGTACTTGAGGATGAGATCCCAGATGGCCCTGCGTGCGTATGGGTCGACTCCAGCCGTGGGCTCGTCCAAGATGACAGCCCGTGACCCACCTACAAAGGCAATGGCCACTGACAGCTTCCTCTTCATGCCTCCTGAGAGGGTCTGCACCAGGGAATGGCGTTTGTTGGAGAGCTCCAGATCCTCAATCATCCTGAGGACAGTAAGAGAAGCATCAGGACTGCTGGGGCTGGCCTGTACCTGCAGCCAGCATCTGTGGGGAGCATCTCACTCCTCTTCCCCACGTGGTACCAGAGTCTCTTGGCAGTCAGGACAGCCCAGCTACAGCCAAGCTACGGAAGGATCTTATGCCAGCCCAATATCCCAAGTTTCGAAGAAGAGTTGGTGGAGCTGGTGTTGGGGTGATCCCTCTTGGGAAGGGAACCTGCTTCCACAAAAAGCACAGATGGGGGCAAAAGAAGTTGGGGGGTGCCTACTTGTCCATCTCCTTGCGGATCTCCTCCTCTGCCATGCTCTTGAGCTGTGAGTAGAACCAGAGGTGCTCCTCCACTGTCAGCTTGTCGAAGAGCACATTGTGCTGGGGACACATGCCCAGGTTTTTCCGGATCTCATCCATCTCTGTTCGGATATCGTGGCCATAGATGGTAGCGGAGCCCGAGGTCGGAGGGAACAAGCCAGTCAGGATGGACCTGGATGGATGGTGAAAAGGACATGGTAAGGAATGTCACACGCAGTCCCCTGGCCCCAGTCCCAACCACCACCTCCCAGAGTATCTGCTGGGCCCTGGGCAGAGGAGTATCAGTAAAGGGCTGTGTGCTGGCTGTTGGTCCCCCTCTGTGTCACCCCTACATCCACACCACCTCCCTCTGAGGACAGCACCAGCAGCCATGGATCCCTGGAAGTACGGCCATGCAGCACCTTCCCAACCTACCAGAGCTGGCCAGGACACAGCCCCCGTCCACCCCAGCAAGAACTCACATGGTGGTGGTTTTGCCTGCACCATTGTGCCCCAGGAAGGACACCACCTGGTTCTCATAGAGGTTGAGGCTCAGCTTGTTCAGTGCCAGTTTCTTGTCTGTCTTGTAGACCTTGGTGAGCTTGTCAATGCAGACGACCAAGGGGAGGTGGGTTGGCTCCTCCTCAATTCCCCGTGTCTCCTCTGTCATGAGAATGGATCAGTGAGGAGTCAGGGCTGGGCACTGAGCGGGGTTCCCAGGGGTGAATCTCCCCCACTCCATCCTGGAGTGACCGTGCTGGCTCCTGGCCCTTCCCCTCTGCATCTCAAACCTTCCCTGCCCTGAGTGATGGGCAGCAGTCCCTGGGAAGGATCCTGCCTTGGATTACAATCCGTCCTTCAGGACAAGGGTGCATGGGATGCACGGAATCCATGGCCACAGAACCAGGGCCAAACCCTGAAGCCCTACCACCAACCTTCTGCACCCACCAGCTCACCCAGCCTCCTGCTCTCCATGGCGCAGGCCTGATCCTCTTCCATGATGCTGAGGCGGGTGGTATGTGACCAGGGCCAGGTCCACTCCCAGGTCTCCACTCTTCCATTTCCCAGCCAGTAGGACTTCTGGAACGGGAAGTACCAGGGCCGCGGCAGGCCAAACATGCCTGCAAGCACAACCCTGCTGCAGTCAGGGCCATCCCTGCACCTTATCTGCACAGAAGCCGTCTAAGGGCTAGGGCAGAGCTGAGCACAAGCACAAGCACAGGCACGGGCAGGGAGGTTTCCCCCGCCCAGGAACATCTCTGCAGGATGGGGCTGCCAATGCTTGGGGAAATGCTGCTGGGCTGTGCAGGGAAACAAAGCAAAACCGGGCCTGGCTCATGCTTGTTTTCCTAGAAAACCTAACAGAGTAGTTAAGACTCCTCAAATAGGCAGTAAGAGGGAGTAATACTCCAACTATGGATGCCACATTGGTCAGTAAACTGAGACACATGACTGAAGACCTCCTTGGAAATTGCCAGGGACAGGGAAGTCACCATTGGTACAGGCATATGGGCAGGTGTCCCCAGGAGGACACACACAGGAGACCCTGGAGGCATGCTGTGCTGAATCCACTTGTACCAAGGCTGAGCACAGCCAAGAAGCAGCAGCATCCCCAGTGGGGAGGCTCCTACAGGATCAGAAGTGCTCTAATGCTGTCCCTGTCCACCCTGCCTGCACGTACCCGGGTGCACAGCCTCAATGTACCACGTGAGCACCCCGTACACCACAGCATCTATGATCAGCATCATCATGGACAGCAGGAGGTTGAAGTCATCTCCTTCCACAGGCGACTGGCTGAAGGTGTGCCACTGGATGCCCACACCAGCCACCTCATACAGCGCAAAGTACTTGGAGCCCAGCCCAAAGGCCGTGGTGGACATGAGAGACTGCAGGGAGGAAGAGGAAAGGGGATGTCAGACAGAACCACAGACCAGCTCTGGAGGAACAGGTTGGGCAAATTCCCATCTGGCTCTGCCCCACCCAGGCCCATGGACACCCAGGCTCCACCCTGGGAGGCACCAAACCATCTGGAGATGCTTCCAAATTCCCATGCCAAACCAGTTCACATGTGCATTGGTTTCCCTAGGGTTTGGTGACTTGTGTACGGGATGTGGGGAGCCCACGACTTAGTGGTAGCTGTCACCTGTGTAGGGGACATAGGGTACCTAGCACAAATCCTTGGCCAGGCACCTCCTGGTAGCCGCAGCCAACTCACCGCAATGCACTTCTCAAAGGCCGTGATCTTGTCATGCGCCACCTCCTCCCGGATGGCCACATACATGTAGGGCACGTAGCTGAGGAAATAGATGATGCCTCCACAGGCAGAAGCCAGCTTGGCCTTGGAGTAGAGCACTGACACCAGGAAACTGTAGGGAAGACAGTGTCACCTCACCAGCCCCGCTACAAGACAAAGGTGACCCCACAACCAGAGAAGCTCTGCCCCACCTGGGCATCCCCCTCTCCCACACCCAGCACCACCTTCCCCCCAGGGACGTGAATGCTGAGCTCCCCCTGCCAAGGATGGAGAGACCCTCCAGTGCCCAGCCCCAGATCCTGCTCCACCAGGGCTTTCCCCACATTGTCTGCTTTCATTGGTGTTGAAGTGGTAAACTACCCTTCAAATAGGCTGGGGGGAACCTGTACTGCTCCACCAGCCTTTACCATACAGCTCCCAGCACCCTCACCCCATGGCACAAGGACACCCTGCCAGGGACCTGGCACTGCTGGTACCCCCTGACTCCATGGAGGGAACCAGGCTGCTCACCAGAACATGATGGTGGCCACAGCATAGATGGCGAGAAAGAGCCAGATGATGAGGACGTCACTGTGCATCAGGACCTTGCCATATTTCAGGATTGCAGTGAGTGCTGTGACTGAGATGGAGAGCTGGACGAAGCCGGTGATGAACCAAGCCACCCAATGCACTGCATTGTTCAAGCCCATCATCTTCATGACCTGCAAGACTTGCACTGCTCAGCTAGGCTGTTCGCTACCCTGTGCATCTCTGAGCCTGTCACTTGCTGGGGTTGGGAGAGCAAAGGACAGCACCGAGGGGAGTGGCCAGACCACAGCACCCCAAGACAGGGTGACTGCAGGCTCAGCTGCCTCTAGCTCTAACCAGAGCTCATGACAGAGATGCTCAGGAAAAGCAGTTCATCCCAGAGACGAGCCATGGCAGAACCTTGGGATTGAGATCTGTGCCTGGGGCACCAGGATGTAGATGGAGCCAGGGGTTTGGCAGTGGGCTGCCCTACCCTGGCAGTGCCAGGCTGTGTCCCAGTATGTGGCAGGGCTTGGAGCAGCAGGGCCACAGGCTGAGCTGGGGTCAGTGCTCTCCCCACAGGCTGCCCTGGCTGCTGGCAGCAGTTCTCTGAGACACTGGCCAGCTCTGCCTGGCACTGTGCCTGGCAGCTTGAGCACACTCTCAATTTCTGCAGAGCTCTCCCCTTTGCAGGCAGCTCTGGGCCAAGCCGGGTCCTGGGCTGCTGCTGTCTAGGAATTGCTACAGGGTGACAGAGGGGTGACTTGGCAAGAGGGATGAGTCCCAGCACCTGGCATGCCCTGCGCAGCCAGGCAGCTAGACAGAGGAGACACCAGCTCCTCCTCACAGATCTCCCCCATCAACCCCACCTCTTTCAGGCGATGCTCCTTCTCGGTCACAATATGCTGGATCATCATGGCTACTGAGTAGACCCAGGAGATCACCATGCACAGGGGCATCATGTGCTCGATGACGAAGAGAAAGCTGGTGGGGTACAGGAAGAGAGGGGGGAGCTGGACGGTGGCACCACCACAGGAACTTGGGAAGGTCCTGGGGACAGGCCACAGGGCAGCGGAGCTGCTCTCCCACCGCCTGGGGACTACTGCAGCCCTCAGCAGCTCCTCGGTGATCTGCAAGAGGTACTGCTCCCATCTCTACTTGATACCTGAGAAATCTGAGACATGGGGAGGGGAGGCATTTTTCAGAGCTTCTCCAATGTGTCCATAGGAAAGCCTGCTGTCAGTTTATTAGGTCCCAGCAGGCAGGCCTGCAGCAGCTGCACAGACTTGGCCCAGTGCACTGCCTGCCCTGCTGTGGACAGGACCCCCTGCATCTTCCTGCCCTAGAGGGCTGGTGGGTATTGGACTTCTCAAGGTACTTCATCCAGACCTTTGTGTTTAAGAACCACTAACAGATGCATGTGCCACCCATTTACCAAACTTCTCCTATTCCCCCCAAGTAATCCAGTCTCTGAGACACAGAATCACAGAATCATCTAGGTTGGAAGAGACCTTCAAGATCACTGAGTTCAACCTCTGACCTAACACTAACCAGTTCTTCACTAAACCATATCACTAAACAACTAAACATCCGAACGTCTTTTAAAGACCTCCAGGGATGGTGACTCAACCACATCTCTGGGCATCCCATTCCAATGCCTAACAACCCTTTCAGTAAAGAAGTTTTTCCTAATATCCAACCTAAACCTCCCCCGGCGCAACTTTAGCCCATTCCCCCTCGTCCTGTCACCATACCCTGCAGCCACGAGTTCCTCACTTGAACTATGAACTGAGGAAAAAAAATCCTTCCCCCGCTTGCTGCTTGCTTAGCTTGGTGGTCAAAGCCACAGGGCATAACTGGTTGCTCATCACTCCTGATGTCAGCAGCCCCCAGACTTGTCCCTGTTCCCCAGCTGAAGTGTCCTGGCCAATTTGGACTGCCCAACGGGCAGGAGAGAAGGTCATGCCCACTTGGGTGTTACTCACTCGTCCCGGGTGTAACATGGGTATGGGAACATCTGCACATAGTTGCCAGGCTCCACCACATCATGGCCAACAAAAGTGTTGATGAGGGCACGCTCCATCATGTCTGGGGAGTAGGAGAGGCCAGGCTGAGTGGGCAGTATGGGCAGGGATGGGGAGCATGGTGGGGCAAGGAGCTGGTACTCACCCTGGATCCAGACAAAGCCATAGAGGAAGTAGAAGCGGCCACCAGTGTTGGGTCCGGGCCGCCAGTATGCACGCCGGATCTCGTTGGTCTTCTCCGTGAAGCTGGAGTTCTGCCTGATCTTGTACATGACATGCGGGGGCAGTGAGCCATCCCTGTTGGTCTGGAAGATCACACCTGTGGGCAGTGGAGAGGCGGAGAGCCTGGTGGCACTGCAGGAGATGGCCACACCGGCCAGCCCACAGTGACAGGCAGGGATGCGGGGATGGCCAGGACCCCGGGCTCAGCATGTAGCAGCAGAGGGCGAGACGAGGACTACAATGGCCAAGAATGGTGCTCGTGTCCCCTTGTCACACTGACTACAGGCACCCGTGATGGGCAAGCCAGGACAGTGGCAGGGAGTTGTGCTTGTAGGGGCTCAGCCAGGATCTATGCACAAAGCAGAGGGAGAAGCAAGGTACTCAAAGAGAGAGATGGCACACTTGATCCACTCATCCACCCAACACATGCACAAGGCAGCATGTCCCAAAGCCAGTGGCCCCAGGCCTGGGGGATGGCTTCAGACATGGCTACAGGGACCCCTGCAAAGAAGCTGGTTCCCAAGGGACGTACTGGCAAAGACTGTGACGTTGTCCTGGTAGGCCTGGTTCAGTGTGTAGTTGACGATGCTTTCCTCATCTGGGAAGCCCTTGAAGATGTCCACACTGACCTGGTAGGAGGGGAAGGCCAGGCAGATCCCATCACACCTCATGGTTCTGGTCATGGACCCCTTACCCCCTCTATGGCATGTGCCCCCCACAGTGACCACTAAAGTGACCTGAACCCAGCAGATGGGCACCTCCACTGCTCACATTTCCCCCAAAGCTCGTGACACCAGAGAAGCCATCGTCTCCTCTCTAGGTCTCCCAACATACGGCCTGAAGGAGATCTGAGCAGATCTGACCCCTCTTTGGCCCTGCAGAGCCCAGCTGTTGGTGGTGGGTGCTGCTCCAAGCGCCTGCATGTCCACAGATGGGTGCAGTCTCACCTTGGCCATGAAGTGGACCCAGCCACAGGCAGCATTATCAATAGTGTCCAGCTGCTGGAGCAGGACACTGGCATTCGGCAGTGAGAAGTTGCCATTGAGAAAGTTGCGGAGAAGGTCATTTTCGGAGACATTCAGGATCTCTGGGTGCTTGTGGAGGTCAGTGGTGAACTGCAACAGGGAGGAAGACATGGAGGACAGAAGCTGGGATACCCCTGTCACTCAGCACTGCCCTCCCTGTGGACACAGATGAGACCAACCCTTTCCTAATGCTCCTCCTGTGGACAGCAAGATAGCATCTGCCTTGCACAGGGCAAGAGCAGGGTAGGCATCCAAGTAGCACCTGAGCACTCTACGCGTAGAAGCTAAGGGGTGCCTGGGGGCAAGACACCCCTTTCCGGCCCATGGGGCAGTAACCTAAGGCAGGCTCAGTCCCCACAGCACTACCCTACCTGCTGGAGCCAGCGGATACGTCTCTGCAGTCTGCCCTCTTCCAGGTAGGCCCGGATCTCAGGTGATATGTTCAGCCATACCTTGGCATAGTGGGTGACATTGCCCACAAAGGCAAAGGTCTCGTTGGCCTGTGGGGCGGAAGGTCATGCTGTGGGAAAATGCTGGGTTAACTGCTCTCCAGGACAGTGCTGCACTCCACCCTAGCAGCCATGGAGGTACCAGCCCACTGCCCTGCAGGTGCTTGCTGGCACCTGGATCCCTCCTGCCTGTTCAACTCCAGCCCCCCAGCCCTCCTGAGCTCCTTTGGGCATGGATGTCCCTTGTGGACTGGGCTAGTGGGAGAGGAAGCAAAATGGTCCTGGACTCTGCACCCTCATGAGCTGAAGCCCTCACCTTCAGAATGACCTTGTCCACTTCGGTACCCACAGGAGCGTAAAGAATTTTGGGGTTGCTGGTCATAAGATGTACGAGGAGTCCTAGGTTTCGCTGTTCCTTGCTGGTGAAACCCAGAGAGCTCATGTTGCCCTGCTTCAGTGCCTCAGGTTCAATTGTCCTGCAAACATAGTCCAGGCTGCAAACTCCACTCCAACCCCAGTATCCCTCCCTGCAGGCAGCCCTGTGGCAGATTTCCCACTGAATCCTATGCCAGTGAGGTGCTGCCACAGTGCTGCCTGGCGTGAGAAGTTTCCTGTGGCAGCGGCACAAGGACGTGGTGTGGCACCCACATCCTGCACACTCATTGAGGGACAATTCTGCCCCTTTACCGTTGGCAGAAGCAAGGTGGGCTCCCCTGCACCCTGCCCCAGGAAGGGAGCTCACAGCTCAGGCAGTTCCCTGGCCCCATTCTCCCCATGGGACTCCTACCGGTTGTTGCCACAGAGGATGGGTTGCAGACCAGCCCAAAGCTGCACAAAGGCTGAGAACTGCCCCTGGGGGTTGTCACCACCAGCCAGGTCCCCCCTGGCACCCTCCTCTTCCACCGTGGCATTGCTGGCTGTGGCATTAGCACTGGCCCAGCCAGTGCTGTTGGCGGTAGGTGGTGGAGCCTTGCTGGTGCAGGCTCCCCTGGGCAGGAGCCTGGCCAGTGCTGAGAGGATGTCCATGTCGTGGAGAACCTTCTCCATCTCCATGAGGTCCTCTAGGAGGGTGCGGAGCCGGTGCTGGGCTGCCGTGCTGTTCACCTCATCCAGTTGCAGCTGTGAAGACAAGCAGGCAAGAGGATTACTCACAGCCAGGGTGCTGAAGCAAAGGGGCCCTGCTCGCCCGCTGCCAAAAGGAGGGGATTAAGGGGGATTCCAAGTGATGACGTCCCCATTCTTGGTTAAAAGGTTGGAGCTGTGTCCCAGACTCATCATATTGCATCCACAGCAATCAGACAGTAGGAGCACAGCCAAGTACTGGCAGGGTCTTGCTGGGGAACCTGTGGGAAGTGTCTGCCAGACAAGGATGGAACGAGGAGGGGGACCTCAGACACAGCCTCAATAAGCTGTGCTCCCAAGGGCATTGTAGGCACCAGGGAAAGGTGCAGACCCTGCTGGGACACTCTGTGAGGATGCTGTGGACACCCAGCATAGCGCTGCCCCTCATCACATCCAACAGGCAGTGCCAGAGTGGGTGCCAGCAGGGGGACGTCATCTGGGGTCACACTGGAGATGTGAAGACCATCCCCAGCAGGCCTTGGAGTTAGACAGGGGGGATGCCCATGTGGGGTAAGGAGGGGCCAGGCCATGTACTGAAGCATGTCACAGAAACCAGGGCTGGCAAAGCATCCCAATGCAGCCCCCAGCAGTTAGGGAAGAGCAGTTTGGGACACAGCCCTGCCCCATGGCTCACCCTACACCCCAGAGCCACAGCTGCCAGCCCCACTACTCGCCAGCTCCTGCAGCCATGCCCCAACCCCGTTCTGTTCTCACCCTGCTGATGATCTTGGGGACATCCAGCTGGTCCCGCAGCTCAGCAGCCAGCAGGGTGAAGCGCTCCTCGCGGGCTGCCCGGCTGCCATTGCACACCAGCGCCCGGTATGCCTGCAGCAGCGGCTGCTGGCTTGGGGCCACACGCAGGAGGCGGCGCAGCGTCCCAGAGCTATGCTCGCACGTCAGCTGCTCCAGCACTGGTGCTGTGAAGAGAACACCCTGCAGGGCAGGGAGCTGTGGCTGAGCTGCCCCATTGAGGGCACCGCAGCCATGCCCCTCCTCACCCCAGCCAGGCACTCACCTCCATCTCCGTGACAAAGGCCTGGGGGCTGTAGGAGCCTGAAGGTGCTGTGGTGGCACTGGCAAGGCCCAGGGCCTGAGAGAGCAGGCGGAGCAACGCTGGCCTCTGCAGGGCTGTGGAGGGGTTGCGCAGCGCGCTGTGGACCAGCCCTTCCCGCAGGCTTCTCCAGCTGCTGGGAAGGCTCTTCTAGGAGAGGACCAAAGAGGGTGTCTGGGAGTGTGGGGGCTCCCCAGTGTCTCCCTCCATCCCAAGCACATGTGAATGGCCCCACAGCACCCACATCCAGAGTTTTCACAGAGGGGAAAGAAAAAGGGGGCATGCAGATCTGGTGGAGCACCATCCTTGGCAGGGCATGAGGTTCAGTCCTCACAGCCAAGAGCATCCCAGGCCACAGGGGGTAATGTTTTCCTCCTCTCCTCCAGGCAATGCCACCACCCATTGCCATGGCAAACTGAGTTGTGGGCACTGGCCCACCTCAAAGCACTTGGGGAATCGGTGGCAGCACCACAATGGGAGCCAGGTGACCTTACTGTTGCTCTGAACATCCGAAAATGTCCCATCACATCCCCTCTAACTGGACAGATAACTCTAAACCATCCTGCATGCACGGCAGAGCTAGGCAGGCCAGTGCAGAGGGGATGTGGAGGACGAGCTGTGCCCCACCGCATCCCCTGCACGTTCCTCACCTCCAGCTGTGAGATCTTGTCACTGGGTCCAAACTGATCCCACAGGTCTTGTTCATGGACATTGTCTGGTGCCAAAGGAGAGGACCCAAACAACAGGTGATATACCTGCACCAGGGACGGGAAAAGGCTGCTGAGCATGCTAGGAGCAGAAGGACCCCACTGCCCAGCAGTGCCCTGGCATAGGGTAGGATGAGTCCCTGCTGGGTGCCCACTGGCCCCCACCCCATGGATCTGGCACTCAGGGCTCAGTCTGGGTTGGGACGCACTTGCCCGCTGCTGCAGTGCAGCGCCCTGCAACCCCCATGCCATCACCCACCTCCCGCAGGTCAATGCTGGAGCCCAAGAGGAGCTCAGTCGTGTCGTTGGGGAGGGACAGGTTCTGCATGAGGAAGCGCTGCAGCTCACCCTGGTCCTTGGCTGCCCACCCCAGTGTGAAGCCAGACCCTGGCAAGGAGCAAAGCAGGAGGTCAGAGCAGCCCATGATCAGAGGGGACACAGCCTGGCCCCACGCATGGACATCTCATAGCATGCAGCCAGGAGGGGCAGTGGCAGGGCACTGCCACATTGCTGGGCACCCCGTGAAGAAACACCTTCATCCCTGGCAGGGCACAGCCTACCTGCTTGGCTGCTGAAGTGGGTCTCCATGGAGCTGGGCTCGCTGCTGCTGAGGGCCTCCAGGCGCCGACGCAGGGACTCCAGCTCCTCCTCCAGGCCCGGGTGGTCTGGGTCAAATAAGTTACTCTGCTCCACCACCTCACTGAGGTGCTCCAGGAGCTGTGTCACCCTGTAGGGAGCACAGCACTACTGCAGCTTCAGGGATGGAACACACATTGCCCAGGGGGAAGGGCCCCTCAGGAACTGCAGCACCCAGACAGCATGGCCTCATGCTGCTGCACTCGCCTGCACTGAGCCTAAACATGTGCCAGGGATGCAGAGTAGAGCTGCAGCACCTCCAGGTGTCCCCAGGGCCACCTCCTCCCAGCACAGTGCAAGGCACCTGGGATGCTGCAAGTGCAGGGGAGATGGGCTGAGACTTCCCCTGCTCCCGGGGGACAAGGGACTCTGCGCACAAATGCATCAGATGATGCGTGCTTCTGTACCTTCCCCAGGGGGATGTTGCCAGTGTGAGAACAGGCATGCTGTGCACATGTGCATGTGTGTACATGCATGCAGGCATGTGTGCATGCATGTGTACATATGTGCATGTCCATGTGTATGTGCACATGGGCAGGACCAAGAACAGTGCAGCAAGAGTGACTCACGTGGAGTTGGAGTACTGCAGGAAGCCAAACTCATCACGCTGGCCATCGGGACACAGGGACTGCATGATAGGCAGGATCCCAGCCGAGGTGAGTGGGGCCGCCGTGTAGAAAGCTGGAGCCAGTGAGAGAGCACAGAAGAGGCAGGGGAAGGCAGGGGCAGGAAAAAGGAGAGGCAGGGGCCACCAGAGAGACAGACACTCAGTTCAGAGAGAAGCACTTGGTGCGCCCTGCGAGCCCCAGGGGACGTTGGACAGCCAAGGTCAGAAGTTTGCAGCCTTCCTGCATGGCCACCAAGCCTGTCCCTGCTGGCACCCCCTTGGGGCTGGGGGCAAATCATGCCCACCTCCACAGCCACCCCAGCTTGTGCCACCTTGCCTGTGCCCATTCCCCCCCCAGATGATGGTGGCCACTCAGCCCCAGGATGGCGCTGACTTCTGACACTTGCCCACTGGAGTGCCACCAACTTCCCCTGGCCTCTTGGCCGCCCTTGTTAGTAACCTCAGAGGCACTGCTGCATTTCCAGAGGAAGAGAAGAAGGAAGAATACAACAGGGAGGAGCTGTCACTCACAGGCCAGGGCCCCTCTTGAGACCCATCCTCCTCCCCACCTGGCTGCCCCGACGTGAGACTGATGGAGGTGAGAAATGGAGACACGGTGAGGGGGGGAGATGGAGAAAATGAGGAGCAGTGAGGAGGCAGCAAATGTTCACTCCCAGACAGGATTGAGCCCTCATCAGCCACAGCCTTTCCCCCTCATTCCCTGGGCAGGGCAAGCACAGCAGCCTGCACGGATCCCTCCTGAAGGGGACCAAAGGCTGTCACTGGGCAGCACCTGGCAGGGCTGGGTGGGGTTAGCCCTTTACCCACCGGTGCCCCTGGTTAGAGGAGGGTCAGTGCTGTTAACACAGTTGTGACAGGAGAGCTGGTGAAGACGGGCTTCTGGGCACAAATGGGGACAGCCCAGGGCAGACATGGCCCGGCATAGATAGATGGGCCAACGGCCTGCTTGAGATGGGCTCCACGCTGGAAGCTGTGCCACGGTGAGGTGACAACACTAGCATCTGGGTGACTTCTTGCTGTCCTTCTGGTTCCTTCTGCTAGTGCTGTGTCCCAGCTCCGTCCCAGCTGCAAGGGACTGGGACAGGGACCTGGTGGCAGGGGACCAGAGCTGCCTCCAGACTGGCTGCTTTGGGGACAGCCGGTGGGACACAGGCACAACTGGGCGATCATGAACTGCGCTGGAGCCTGCAGGCAGCAGGGTTTGCCCCAGGAGAGAGGCAACAAGATGGGAGAGAGGGGCCTCTGCCAGGCCTGACATGCTCTCTGTAGCCCAACCAGCCAAGGTCACAGCCATGAGTGGCCCCAGCACCTGCTAAGCTCAGCCTCAGCAAGGAAAACACAGTAGAGGCAGTGTCTGGAGCTGGCCTGGGCTGGTCAGCAACAGCAGGGGCCAGGGCCATGAGGGCCACAGGTGGCTGGCACAATGCAGGTAGTCAGGCAGGGCCACACTGCACTGCCCAAGCTCATCTTCACCAGCCAAGGAGGGAGAAGGAAGGCAACAGGTTACAGAGGTGCTAATTAGGCCAGAGTGAGCTGATCCAAACTGGTCTCTTTCTCCCCAAAAGATTTTGCTGGCAATGGCAGGGGAAGGGGAGAGGCACCCACCCATCCAACCAACTTACAGACTGGAGCATGCAGTAGAGGCATGGAGGGCAGGCAGGCAGGGGTGATGGTGGGAAAGAAAAAGAAAATGTGAGAGAAAAGAAAGAAAAACCAAACCAAAAAACACAACACAGAGCACATATCAGCACCAGGGCAGGAATCGGGGCAGCGCCGGCCACCCTCAGCTCATCCCCTATGCTCCTCAGCTGGGCTCTCCCTCACCAGCATGTGTTCAGATCACTGTCACACTGGGCCATGGCTACCAGCTGCCGGCACCTCCCCTGGCTCTGCTGTGCTGCCCTGAGGCATCTGTCCCTCTACCCATGGAAGGCACCTGCCCAGGGAGGCATCTTCTGAGGCATCTTGCTGCCACACAAAGGCCAGACAAGCTCTGCACTGCTACCTCCTCCTGACAGCAGGGTACCCATGGAGCTCCAGCTGTGCATCTCCGGGACACCCTGAGCTCCTGCCCCATCAATTTTCTGGCCTCACCCTGGCCCCAGCAAGCCCCAGAGTCCCCCTGAAGCAATGCAAGGAGCTGCACACAGAGCACATCCCCCTGTCCCTTCCCAGAGCCTTCCAGCTGCTCCCCTGGTGCTTGGGGGCACTGCAGCTCTCCCAGAACCACCCAGCCCCACCACCCCTCTGTCCCACGAATGCCTTGGGGCAGAGATAAGATGTCCCTGCTGATGGCATCTGAAGGCTGCTTGGTCCTGGCCAGCTCCAGGAAGCTCCCTTGGCAAAGAAGTCCTATTGCTCTCCGGCCCATCTTCTGCAACAGCACTTGTCTGCAGCCCCTCCCCTAACCTATGTCCCCAAAAGGCTCCTCTGGGTCCCTGCCAGCTGTCAGAGTGTCCTCCTAAGCCTCAGGCTGTTCCTGGGGACAGCTGCTGGAAAAGCTCTCCAGTGCCTTGTGGGGGGAGGGGAGGGCCTAGACTGCCCCCAGGTATGCGTGTCCCAGGCACCACCAGATCACACTCACCTTCCTTCACAGGGATGGTTGGCTTCTTCTGTCGCAGTCCCAGGAGGATGAAGAAGAGCACCAGTGGGATGAAGATCTCAAAAGTCAGCACCCACTGCAGATGACACAAAGCAGAGGGACTATGACAGCCAGGGACAGGACCTCCACCAGGGAGAGGCATGAGCAGGATGAAGGTCCCTAGGGCAGCCCCTACCCCATGCCCCAGTGCAGCGCAGCACTGTGCCCGTGTCTTCCAGGTGGATGGTGGCACCACAATGGCTGAGACACCTGAGGTTCTCCAGCTACTCCCTGCCCACACCCTGCCTGTTCCATTCTGCAGGGAGAGCATTGCCAGGGGGCACCATGGGACAGAATGGGCCCATCAGACAGTGTGCTAGGGCATGAGCCCAGACCAGACGGGCCACCACAGCTGGAGCTGCCCAGGGCGGACAACAGCCCCAGGTCCTTGTGGCCTGTGAAGAGCCACAGGCACCCTCCTGGCAGTGCCTTCCCAGCCAGCAACTGCCTGGTCATGACATCCCCTTGTCCCTGCTGGGTCCCTGCGGTTGACCTGGCATGCCCAGAGTGCCCCTGCCCTGTGTGATTGCTCTGCTAGTGGAGCCGGGCCCCAAGGAGCTCCCAGCCCCATCTCACCTGTGAACCCAATGTAGGCAGCAGACTTCAACACTGTCAGGGTGAGGAGACATTCGATCACGACCTGGCACCATCTCCATGAATGACTGGGGGCAGTGCAGGGGATCCCGACCTCCTTACAGCCCCTCTGTGCCTTCCCAGAAAGCAACAGTCGGACAGGATTTTCAACCAGCTGCATATGGCAAATTGCTGCAAATCCCCAGGAAACACTGACCCCAACAGCACAGGCAGCCCAGGCTGGGCTCCATCTTTGTGGCCCTCCTCTGGACCCACTCTGACAGCTCCACATCCTTCTTGTGCTGGGGTTTCCAGACCTGGACACAGTACTCCAAGAGGGGCCTCACAAGGGCAGAGTAGAGGGGCACAATCACCTCCCTCGACCTGCTGCCCACCCCTCTGTTGATGCAACCCAGAATGCAGTTGGCCTTCTGGGCTGCAAATGCACACTGCTGCATCATGTCGAGCTTTTTATCCACCAAAACCCCCAAATCATTCTCTGCAGAGCTGCTCTCAATGAGTTCTTCTCCCACTCTGTACTCATGTCTGGGATTGCCCTGTCCCAGGTGCAGCACCCTGCACTTTGACTTGTTGGTACCTTAAAGGAGGCTGTAGTGAGGTGGGGATTGCTCTATTCGCCCATGCGCCTGGCGATAGGATGAGGGGGAATGGGCTAAAGTTTTGCCAGGGGAGGTTTAGGTTGGATATTAGGAAAAACCTCTTTACTGAAAGGGTTGTGAGACATTGGAATGGGCTGCCCATGGAAGTGGTCACGTTACCATCCCTGGAGGTATTTAAAAGACATTTAGATGTAGAGCTTAGTGATATGGTTTAGTGTAGGACTGGTCAGTGTTAGGTCATGGGTTGGACTAGGTGATTTTGGAGATCTCTTCCAACCTAAACAATTGTGTCATTCTGTGATTCTGTTGAACCTCATTAGGTTCACGTGGGCCCACTTCTCTTGTTTGTCCAAGTCCCTTTGGATGGCATCCCTTCCTTCTATCGTATCAACTGCACCACTCAGCTTGGTGTCATCTGCACTCGATCCCACTGCCTCTGTCATTGATGTAAACGGTACTGGTCCCAGGACAGACCCCTGAGGTACACCACTCATCACTAGCTTCCACTTGGACATAGAGCCATTGAGCATCACTTTCTGGGTGTGACCTTCAAGCCAATTCCTTATCCACTGAACGGTCCACCCATCAAATCCATCTCTCTCCAATTTGGAGACCAGGATGCATGCCAAAGGCCTGGCAGAAGCTGAGGTAGATGACATCGATTGGTCTTCCTTTGTCAACTAACGCAGTCACTCCATCATAGAAAGCCACCAGATTGGTCAGGCACAAAAATGGGAAATAGTTTTGTTTTGTTTTTAATACAGGGTTTTAAAACAAAAGTGACTGCCTGGAAAGACACAATCTGCAACAGGTGACAGCCAGGCCTTTCTGTCTCTGATGGCAACACCTCTTCACCAACCTCAGCCATGCGCTGGAACTGCTCAGCTAAAAAATAATTCTGCCCAGCAAAGGGCAGTGAGCAGTGGGACCCCTCTGCCCGTACCCCATGCTGCTGCATGGCCATGACCAGGAGGGTCTGTGGGAAAGGCATGGATGCATCAATGGGTGCTGCACCCAAAGGTGCTGCTCAAGGGCCTCGCTGCAGCCCCAGCAAAGCTCCCTGCAAATCTTCCTCACTGCCCACTCCATGCTGGGAACCACTGATTTGGAGGGACGAAGAGAATGGTGGAACAAGGGCTGGAAGGAACAGGGATGGGGGTGCTGCAGGAAGGAAGCCAGGCTGCCTGGGAGCGGTGCCAGGGATGGGGGGGATCCCTGTCTGTGTGGCACCACTGGTCCCAGGCACCACCCCCGCTGTCACCGCCCCTGTGCCCATGCCTGCCCCCCTCCCCTGCCTGTTTACCAGGCACACAATCGTGCCTCTGTGCACACACGGGTGCGAGTCTGTCCTTCCACTACCACCCCCAACACCCCATGTTGCATCCGTACCAGGCAGGTCCCTCCTTTGGGGATTGTTTGGTCCGTGTTGGCAAAAGGAAGCGCCTGTTTGTTGTTGTGTGTGTTTTTTGTTTTTCTTTTTTTTTTTTTTTTTTCTTTAAAGCAGGTCATTGACCTCTTGCTTGGCTCCATCTCCAGGACAAACCAGAAATGAGACCGGGTAGCAAAGATATCCCCCATCCCTGACCTCGACCCCAGAGCAGTACTGGGCACCCCCTATGCACTGCCATGTCCCTCAATGCCAGGGCTGGGTGCCCCCGACACAGGCAGACGTGGTGGCAGAGCAGGGCTCACCAACCCACACCGCAGGGACTGATCCTGTCCTTTCAGCCCCAGGCTGCCCACACAGTGCTAAAACACCTTGGGCAAGGGGTCAAGGCTGCCTCACACCCAGAGAGAGCAGACGTGGGTGCTCTCACTCCCAAGCCCAGCACATGCCCCGAACTCTGTCACCCAGCCCATCACGCAGAGGGTACTGCAATGCCACCCACACTCCAGCCTCATCTCCTCCAGACTCTCCCACCCACAGCTGGACACCAGGGTCTCCCAGCATGCCTGCCCTAAGAGGGCAGGGGAAACAGCAACTGCTCCAAACTCTGCCCAGTCCTTCCCACAGCCACGTTATGTGCTAGAGTGCCTCTGCCCACCTACAGCGGGGCAGAGAGACATAGGCAGGCAAGGGGGCCTGCCCATGGGGAAGGAACCCTGTCCCAGCAGACCCTCAGTCCCCCACGGGGGTGGCACCCAGCAGGGCCACCTGCCACCAGAGCAGCCAGTGGACACAGCGCCAGCAGGGGTCACCACCTATGGGTGTGGAACACTGGAGGACACAGCAAGAGCATTTTGGGATTGCACAGGACTTACTGTGGGAGAAAGCACAGACAGGGAAAGGCAAGGATCTGGTTGACCAGGAAGTGATGCTACAAAAGACAGGTGGATAAGGAGTAGAAATAGCTGTGCCCTTGTAAGCATGGCTGTTCAGTATACTTGCCCAGCCATGCCCCACACTGATTGGAAGATCTGGACTGCCTTCCTTCCCAGTTCCACTCTTGACTCTGCACTGGGTCAGCTCTGCATGTACTTGCACAAGTTCAGCACCAGGAGAGATGCAGGTCCCAGGGTCCCCTGTGCCTGGGTGCCAGCAATGGGGGAGGCCTGGCTGGGGCAGGTCCTGAGCCCCGCTGCTGGAGGGATCCAGCCCACAGATGCATACAAGCCCCTCCACATGCAGGCATCCACCTCGATTAGCCAGAGGGCTGAACAGGATGAGACCACCACTGCTGGGTTTGCACAAACGTGGGGCACCTGCTCATGGTCCATGCAGCTGCGGGGGAATGTACACGTACACATGGCATATATACGGTGCACGTGCAGGCCAGGCCCATGTGCTCAGCCTCTCGCACACTCCTGGATCCAGCCTGAAGCTCCAAGCCAGGCAGGCACAGGGGCTGGCACAAGTGCTGCTCACATGGCACTGGCCAAGGCATGCAGCTCCCAGGGGAGGCCACACAGTGCCCTGGAACATGACACCCTGGCAGAGTAAGTGCAGGGGCAAGAGGAGGGCACCATGCTAGGGGAAGCACTGGACATAACCCATGGGACATGGCCCAGCAAGGGGCAAGAGCAAAGGGCCCGGCCTGGCACAGTGACCCCCACTGACAGGGCTGTGGTCCCCTGCCAGCCAGCACTCGGGACCAGTGCCACAGGTAGCTGAAGGACACACTGCAGCCAGAGGCTACCATGGGCTGTGAGGTCTTCATCTGCCAAGCAGACACTGGACCATGGACTTTGGCAGGACAGCTTCACTGGTGTCCCCAGCTGCCATGGGACATGTGGTTGTCTGCATGTCTGGATAGCTGAGCCAGATGCCCCCTGCAGCCAGGCCCAGGGCTGAGGCAGCTCTCTATGCCCACTGCTATCAGCCAGAAGTTCGCTCCATCTCTCCTGCCTGCTCCAAGAAATCTCCCTAAGCCCATGGCCACCACCTTCAGCCAGCACAGCCTAGCAGAGGTGCAGCCAGGAGCCTCCCCAGGCTGGGACCAGGCAGCTGCCTCTCAAACACTTCTCTAACCCAAACCCTGTGGCAACTCCAGCAAGGTCCCCCCACCCCAGAACTACCATACCAGCACCCTCTCCAGCCCTGGTCTGTCACCAGGACATGGGGGGACGGCTGCTCTCCTGGCAGAAGCAAGGATATTTACTGGGCCTGATCCAGGCATAGTAGCACCACATTACATAGCTCAGTCAAGACTGGCCTGTGGTGAGCCCCTGTTCTGAATTTAAGAGGGAGGGGCAGGGTTCCCTGGGGAGGAGGAAGGGAACACAGCCCTGCAGCTGCCATTTCCCCACCAGTCTCTCCTGCAGGCCCCAGCACTGCCCACAAAGCAGAAGGTGACAGCCTGCAGGAGGCCCAGGGAACAGGGGTTCAACTCTTTGAGAATCTACA